GTTGCCCTAGTGACACTGCTAATTTAGCAGTGGTCACGTGTCACAGAGGAGGCACGGCAAGAAATGCCTGTGTTCCTTGATGATGACACTATAGTGTTATCAACAGCGTCGACCCATGAACGACCTCTTGGAGGCGTCATCGGCGAGCTGGATGCTAAAAGTATGAGCGAAGCTCAGCGCTTTGTGGATGAGCGATTAGCCATCACACGTGAAGTCCGTGACGCGATGGCAAGCGCACAGGACAAGCAAAAACAATATGCAGACCAGCATGGTCGCAAAAACAATGAACACTTTAGTGTGGGGGACAAAGTGCTATTAAGTATTGCTACCCTACCTAAGCATGCAATTTCTGTACTACCTGGTGGTACTACTAATATAGTGCCCCGATTCATTGGGCCCTTTACAGTAGTTGAAGAAGTTGGAGATCTAAATTATAGGCTCACTCTCCCACCGTATATGAAGACGCACCCGTATTTTACGTGGGTCGTCTGAAACGGTATGTTGATCCAGAAGAGATCACATATCCACATCGGTCTAACGAGACCGATGGTGACGTCGACTGTGAGTCGAGCGCCGCGGCCGATCAGGCGACGAGGAAGCCGATAGGCTCCCCGCATACGACCGAGGCGGTAGATGACTCGGCGATCGAGGAGGACTCCGCGCTTGACGCGGTTCTCTCATCACCAGTCGCTCTAGGATGTCCAAACAGGTCTTCAGGATGCCATACCCCTGACGATCCCTCGTCCTCACATCGCGCAGATCCGAGGTCAGTCGCGAGACTTGACTCTCGAGATCTGCCACCTACCTGCCTCTTTAGAGCAGCAGACTCAGCCTGCGACTGAACAGCAGCAGGATAGGCAGCCGCGATTAGGTGGGCGTAATCGCCGCTCCTATCGGGCGCCACCTGTGTTGGTGGACACGGAAAGGGAATACGCGATTCCTTGTTGGAAGGCTGTTGGCCCACCGGTTTGTGAAGCGAAAGCTCTAAATCCTTGTCCAGTGGAAGGGTTACCCAACGAGCTTTGACTCGTGGGAGCCTGTGGACGCTTTGCGCGTTGACGTGACTGGGCTGGTGTCTGCTTATGTGAAGCAGCACTAGCTGTCTTCTTTCTGCTAGGTCCGGAAGGACTAGCAGAAGAAGCGTGGCGAGAATTAATTGGGAGTCGCTTACCACCCAAAATTTCATGCGCACGCTTCATGGCGAAGCTGATTCGCTGCGACCGTTGTTTAATTGCATTTTCATGCAAGGTAACACGGCGCCGAATTTCAGCTTCATAGTCGTCGGCTGTTTCGTTAGAACGCAGCACGACTGGAATTGGGAAGCACGACCAAGTGCTTTGCCCTTCTTTTTCCACAAAGGAAAGACGCTATAAATTTGTAAGCGTCAATAGTTGTACGCTGCAAAAGCGCTGCGCTAGACCCATCCGAGTTCATCCACTCAGATGGAGGTGGCATTGGTGGCAAGCCACCACTCACGTAGCCGCCCTCGCGACGGCGGGCTAGTGAGGCCGAAGGTGTACTTGGTGGAGGCTTTAAGCTCACACTTATCGGAGTCTGACTCTCCATTATGGATTGTCAAGACATCAGCTTGAGAAGTCACATCTGACTGAGTCGCGACTACTCCTTTCGAAGTAGCGTGCTCAGTCTTAGTCGCTGCGCTCGTAGGCGCAGACGACGGGGTTTTACCTTCGCTTGTAGGAAGCATAGATGCTTTCTCAAGGACGGGTGCCTCAAATGATGGGGACATATGTCCCATCAATGCACTATTCTCATCGCCACTTTTGAGTGATGGCAGTGGTGTAGCCTCATTGTAATCTACAATGAGAGATAAATCTTCATCCACATTATCGTGAGATGGAAGATCCACCCCAGTGCCTGAAGCACTTTGCGACGGCTGCGATAAATCGCGGCGCGTGCACTTAGTGCTGGACTACATGGGTGCCTTTGCAGGCGACCCATCAGCCTTACCACGTTTCAGTGGCATGAGAGTTGGGTAGACTAAAACGGCGCGTTTATAACGGCTTGCAAGTCTCTCTGTCTCCTAGGTGATGTTTTACAAAATGTAAAATTCGTTCTAAAACGGGGGATGGTGTAACAGGGCATCTAGTTACACGTAAACATTGAGTAATATACTTAATGTTTGGTCTAAAGATATCTATGATTACTTTTGACCTGTCACTTGGGTGCGATACACAAATGCGATCCACCCTCGTGAATGTGATATCCATTGATGGATTCACATGAGAAGGGATGACGCTATTTGAAGCTAGGCATCGCGACGTCTCAGAAGGACGTCAGTTGCGATCTTAAATATAGATTTAAGATCATGCGACAGGATACGCTTCTATAGAGTCGCGTATCCGATCTATATATATATATATATATAGCCAACCAGTAGTTAAGTATATATTTAGTTATAATTAATTAAATATAGCTCAGTCTTGAATTTGCTTAAACATACGCACCACGCACGAGAAGCTGAAAAGCTTCTGCGTGACGTCGGTGCCTTCTTGTTAAAAAGTTCGTTGCACTCTCGCTTAAGCGAGAGGCAACTGGTGGTACGACTGCTTAAGCAGTCGACCAACCTCCTAACCACCCTCGCACGCGAAGGTAAGACGGTTTAACCGCTTCCTCGCTTGTGCATAAGGTGTGTGCTCGTAGTACGAGGCAAATTCGTAGAAGTGCCCGTCTACAAAATAAAACGAATAATAGCGGTAATATCTATCATAATTCACTACCAATTTCATTTAAGTCGAATATAATGCCTATACGGGTATATTGCTCTTGCGATTGTCATCAAGTCACACGAATAAGCAATATGTGGAAAGTTGGTTGTCTTGGGGGTTTATATTATAATTCAGGATAGATGAAAAGGACCAAAAAGTGAGTTTTCCACTGTTTTCTTAGCTAAATTAGTGATCTTCAAGCTGAGTGGAGATCAGAGAAAATGTGTTATGAGTTAAAGTCAACAATCGCGGCGCATCGATATGTACCTGCCTCGCTTTAACATGTAATATTGGCTATGGGACTATGATTTCGTTTGCGCAAGCTATAGACTGACGTCATCAGCGAGCTTATTTATAGTTTCAGCTCGCACGTAAGGATACGCTCTTAAGACGCGTATCCGATCCTTATATTTGACCAATCAGAAGCTAGATTTATATTTAGTTATAATCTATTGAATATAAGTCAGTATTGAATATACCGCATCACACTCACTGCGCACGGGAAGTCTGGAAACAGCTTCCGTGACGCAGCTAGGTGATTGTTATAAAGTTCGATGCGCGGATCGCTGTAAGCGGCCGGCAACAGTTGGTTCGGCGCTTTAAGCGACCAACCAACACCACCACCACCGCACGCGGAAATGAGACGGTATAACCGCTTTCTTACGCTGCTCGAAGGTGTGAGCCCGCGTAGTACGTGGCAGCTTGTTTACTAAACGCCCGTCTACACTTGGTAGCGCTTGTAGTCCTTCCCACGACCCGTCTCTCTGAGCGTGCGTGTGAATGCGGATGTCCCTTAACGTGGATTGGGGTGATTTTTCTTAACTCTCCCAACATCATAGGAAGTTGGCAGAGCATTTAGTGAAGGGACTTGGTGAACAAGCCCTGGCCAACCTCTTAAATTATCCCTTTGAGCAACATGTTGCTCAGTTGGAGCAATTTGAGGCGTTTGTGCTTGTACAGCGTAGAAACGCGTCCGAGGTAAACAGCCAAGCCACGGCTGAGTCTATCAACAAGACTCAGGATGATTTTTTGCGTGGGAAAGATCGGAAAGAGGAGCTCAACAGAACTGTTGAGACGCTCTCGGCACGGTCTAATCAGCCAAAGCCCATTCGGATGGACCCTCCAAAGTTTGATGGGACTACCCCGCATACGATCGTCCCTTGCCTTTTAGCAGTGGAGCAATGCGGTATGGCGTAGCTCATCGAAGACGACACCAGGATGGTGTCGTATGCCATGTCAAATTTGCGTGGCAAAGCGTTAGAGTGGGCTTACTATGCGTTTATGGCAAACGCTGATGCGTTTTCATTATTTCCATCATGACGATCTTTACGTCAAAGATTTTGCGCCATGTACCATCCGCCTAACAACGAAGTGTTGCTTATGGCGTGCTTCTTTGGAGCACGACAGGCGAAACGATCTCTTCAAGAGTATTTACAGGAGATGCGTTCGCTGTCTGCGTCCATATTAATGTGAGTCCGATACCGAAACACATTAAGGTGACCAAGTTCATGAACGGACTACGGCACGGCCCATCGCGTCAGGCTCATTTTAGAAAGGTGCCAGCGACGATGGAGGAGGCAATTGACATTGCCTTAGTTGAGGAGCAATCTTACAACAGCGCCTCTGCGACAGCCTATTACAGGCCGACCGAGAATTCTGATGCCAGTCCTATGGAGTTAGGCAATGCAGACGTGGTCTGCTACAAGTGCGGCAAGCAAGGCCATGTGATGGCTCGCTGATATGCCAAACTTGCTGCTGGTGCCAAAGCAGCAAGCAAGAAGGCTCTCTACCAAAAGTGAGGTGCGAAAAACCAGCGTGCACGACGCACGGGTTCAGCACCTGCCCAAGATGGGTTGGGAAATGCGGGAGCGCAGTAGGGGCGGGATGCCCTACTGTCGCGGACTTTGAAGCTACCCCTAAGTTCAGAGTGATCGAAAAAATGGGGTAGCATAGTCCCTGAGGTTCCGAAAGGTCGGACCTCAACCCTTTTGGTCTATAGCGCTCGAATACGAGGCTATGACCAAGTAATGTCCCTTCTCGTGGATTCGGGTGCATCACAAAACTTTGTGAAACTCGCGGCTCTGAAAAAGAGTCCATCGAGTTATGAGTGCTTTGCCAGGATGGCAAGCGAGAAGAGTCGGTCGTTCGTTTAGCGAACGGCGCGCTCGTAAAATCGGAGGGAGCTCAAGTTGAACTCGCCTTCAGTTCTCTGACATCACCTATAGTTTCAGTAGTAGTATCACAACAAAAGTAGCTCCAGCGAATTTTTTCCCGTCAATTTGACATCGCAATCAACGCAAATTTACCTTCAACGTTACCAGTGACATCATCTGCAGTATCACCTTAAACGAAAATTTACCTTCGACGTTACCTGTGACATCACCTGCAGTATCACCTTCGACTCCGCAAACAGAGCTACACACGGTATTAAAACCCGCGTCACTCTCTAAAAACTGATCATCATCGCCTCCAACATCACAATTGGCGTCTCCTACGGTGAGATGATCAGTTTCACGAGCTACGTCATCTTCTACTTCACCTAGGTAATAAAACAATATCAACGTCAGAAATATCAAAGCAACACATTCAGTATCACGAGCAATTACCTGTATCGTTACTCAGACCACCCATTCTATAAATAAAAGATCGCAACGTCCGCGGATGAATTTCGGACTGGATCATGTCTGTGACCCCTGGTATCGGATCACCACTCAAGATGCGAGATAGTCCGTTTCGTATGCCATGTACAGGCGTCTATCATAATCTCTCTTCGCGCGGTTGTCCGCGCGAGGTACCATTAAAGCCTGCCAACCAGCTCTCGATGATCTACAGGCAGCCCTTGCAGCTCGACCTCCCATCGGCGCCATTGGTCAACTTGTCGACGAACGTGCTGAAACCGCCTCAAAGACGGAAAGTAAAAGGCCATACCAAAAATGATAAAAATACAAATCGAATTGGCCCAAGACAAGAGACCTCTGACCCTACTTTCGAATAATGATACAGGATTTGGGAACAAACAATCAACCGACGTGTCACGCACTTGGATCATGTCAACCGATAATTGAACGGTTCTATCATGCTTTCAAAAACTGTAACATACACTAGAAACAGACGATCAGTTGTCTTTCTTTAACCAAACAAAATAGCCTATGATCAGTCTCTCTTGTCTTAACTATATTAGAGTACAAATATGTATGCTACCTTCGTGCCCTATATTCATTGCGCGCGTCCATCGGACATTGGTCAGCGCCTTGGTTAATATAATGGCCTATATTAACCAATTAAAGGGCATCTCGAACTTCAAGAGGACAATATTATAAGAAAAGATAATATTTATATTTTTAATTGACGCTTATTGTTAATGTCGAATATGTAACGGGCTTACCCCGATACACTATACATAATGTGGATGATGTTAAAAGCTATTGTTGTTGACAGGTCGTGAAGGTCAAGGGCAATACCCTGTCACGCAGTAAGTAACAACCGTACCTGATTGGCTAAACAGACTTGATGTGCTGACAGATGGGACGAGGCGACGAGATTACCACATCGTCTTGTAGATGTCGTAACAGATGGGACGGAGCGGGATAGATGTGAACTATAGATGGTATAGTTGCAGTCGGTTTCGCATGCATGTGTAGGTAGGTTAACGAACGAGGAAAGTTAATGCTTAATATATCACATCTTAACTTCTACATCTTCTGCAACAAGTGCAGCAACACTACTACCAACTTGTTACAGGTTATGATCCCAAAGAATCGTGACGGCGGCGGAGCTCAAGGATCCACACCCGCTGTGGTGGTTAATGGTCAAGGATCGACCAAGGACCACCAACTTGAAGAAAAGTCGGCAGTGCTTGCGGCTGCACTGGACAAGATGCTCGTCATGCTTGGCGATTTGTCGGAGCGGATGGGTAGGATGAAATTCTCCCAACACGGACAAGTCGGTGGCCAACGCAAGGTACCTGCGGAGACGAGCTTCTTTGGTTCGGTTCTCGGTTCAGGGGCCGGTATAGCACTCCAGGCTTTGGAGCGTACCCCGCCACCTAAACGATCACCGAACGTCTCGCCGGCCACTTACTTTGGTGCCCGACGACCGGCTTTGGACGGGGATCACATGGTCGACGCGCCGGCCCAGGCCAATGTCTACCACGGAATGGCTCAAGGACTTGAGCCTGGAATTCATGGGCATGACATGCCCGCGGGAGCATACCCGGGTATGCAGATGCCAGGTCCGGTGTTACATCAACCTGGGCAAGTACAACAGGGTGTACCGGATGGCCGTCAAAGGAAGATGGCTTTGCAGCCTTTCGACGGTAAAGAGCTCTACCTCGGACTTGGTAGTGGCTTCATTGAATGGGGGAAAGAATTTGCTCGGCAGGTTGCCTTTTCGGAACGCGCCTGTGGGTTCGCATGGCCTGAGGACATGAAGGTTGATGTCCTCGGCCAACACCTCGCTGGTACGGCGCAGAAGTACTATAGGTGGCAAGTGGAAATTTGGTGGTCTGAGAGTCCGACCTTAAAGCATGCAATGCAAAGGTTACTCCAGACCTTCAACACCAAGATAACACCTGCCCAAAGCATGAAGCTGTTTACTGCAGCCAAGTCATCTCAGCGTAGATGGACGGAGCATTTTCTGTACCTGACCGCTGTAAGCGATGCGTGCGGAGGTGCGGAAAACCTCGTGCTGGACAACATCGTGCACTATGCCGACCCGTCTACGCGGTCGACCATGTTGTCTCGCCTGAATTTGAACAGGATCGATTACCTTCGCCAAGATGAAGAGCTCTCCCAATTTGCTCAGTCGACGGAACTGGAAGTTCGCGTGAAGCATTTCGGTCGAGATGTCGTTAACATCGTCGAACCGATCAACCAACCCAATCGAAACGAACGGAACAAGAAACAACATGGCCCGCAACGACCCAAACAGTGTTACCTGTGTGGGAGCACCGGGCATCTCACGATGAACTTCCCAAAAGGTACCAAGAAGAAACAAGATGCAAATTTTGTCTTGAAAATTTTGGACATCGGACGATCTCATCAAATCACTGGGTGCTGGACAGGGGCTCAGGTCGTCATCTGGTTAACGATTTGAACTTGCTGGAAAATGCGGTGGATTGTAACACCGAATTTCTTACTGCAGCATCGGATAGTGAACCACTTCGGATCACCAAACAAGGAAGCGTCATGATCCGGGTCAAAGCACTTGGATTGACTAAGACCATTCGTCTTCTCGATGTTCAATACGCCTCCAATTTGGAGTGCAACATCATCTCGTTTGGGAAACTCGAGCTGAAGGGATGCGTTCTTGAATACTGAGAAGGGGGCGTGTCATGGTATCACATTCTGGTGGGATACCTATAATGGATGTTGATCGCATCAACAGTGTACTGGTCGTTGAAGTTTTAATGAAATTACGACCGATGATTTTCGTGGATTTGGGTCACCAAGAGAAGCGATCATGACGGTTGTCGAAGACATTACAAACCATGCAAAGAACGACACGCAACACGGAACCCTGTCCTATTTTCATCGGTGTCTAGGTCACCTGTCCAATGACACCATCATCAAGATGGCTAGGGATTCCGCCTCTGGTATCCAATTGACTGATACCACGCGTGTCAAGTGCTTAGCCTGTTCACAAGGCAAGCAGACAAAAAAACCGACAATCGCGGAAGGACAGTGGGCTGAATTCGCCCATTGACGTGATCGGAGGCGTGGTATGTTCAGACTTAAAAGGTTCTATGACCCCCTGTGATCGGCTCGGCAATCGATACCTGGTCAATTTTTTTGACCACAGGTCGAACTACTGCCGGGTGACCTAGCGAAGATTAAAGATGCCGCTGCGATGCACTTCAAGAATTTCTTGGTGGCTTTTGAGCGTCAATTTAATTGCCGTATACACGTTTTACGTACAGACGGTGGAGGTGAGTACAAGCCTCTGGATGTTTTTTGCAAGGAAGTCGGTGTCACTCGTCAGGTGAGCGAGCGTGACAATCAGGCCAGCAATGGCGAAGCTGAACGCATGCATCGCACCATCATGAACATGGTGCGAATCATGGTGTTTGCAAGTGGGTTACCCTTAACGTTTTGGGGTGACGCTGCATAATATGCAGCATACATCCTAAATCGAAGCCCTACCAAGGCAAACGAAGGTGGCATCTCACCTATTGAGATGTTTACCAAGAAGACACCCGTCTTAAGTGACATTGTGATTTTCGGATCTCCATGCACCGTGCACCGAACGACTTCAAAATGACCTTTTTCACTAAAACTTGCAAACAAGTCGTTGGGTCCTCGGGAAAAACAAGGTATCGTCATCGGCAAGAGTGATGAGATGAAAGGATATCGGGTTTTCATACCGATGGAACGTGTCGTGATGGTAAGTCAACATGTGAAAAATGTTGAGATGTTGAATAACATACAAGAGACAAACGTAACAAAAACGTTACATGGTACCATAGGTCAGGATGAGCTCGGTGACCAAGGTGGCACGAGCAAATCAAGGGCAAGATCATCGGGATGGACTCGTGATCCACACATGACACGGTCACGTCGAACTGACGGAGACACATCAAGTGATGTCATAGACATACACAAGAATGTCGACATGGTCAACATTGTTCGAGACACAAGGAACTATGGCGAGGCCGTACGGAGCGACAGCAAGGATAAATGGGCTGTGGCCATCAAGGACGAGCTGCATGCATTGGAGGAAAACGGTGTGTGGGCGGTTGTTGTTCCACCTGACAACGCTCACATACTACACAACAAATGGGTCTTCAAGACAAAGACCGACGCCGATGGGAAAGTCTAGCTATACAAGGCCAGACTTGTTGCATGCGGAAACGAGCAGTTGGTTGGAGTCGACTACACCTTGACTTTTGCGGCAGTTATGGAACTTGGGACAGTTAAGGTGATTCTGGTCCTCTCACGCAGATGGAACGTACCGGCTCGGCACGGCGATGTGCCGAACGCATACGTCAAGGCCAATAAAAAAAGGATACATGAAACTACCAAGCGGTATGCAAGTCGATGATGACACCTTGGCCCATCATGGAGTGGACGGGACAAAGCAACTCGCGCTGTTGCTCAGGAAATCCTTGTACGGATTGAAACAAGCTGGAAGATTATGGAGCAAGCTACTACACTCCAAGTTGACTGAGCTAAACTTCAGACTCAGACAATGCACGACGGACATGTGTCTATACTTCAAACGAACCGGCACAGATGTAACGGTCGTCGGTGTTTACGTCGACGATTTGCTGGTGACTGGAACATCGAATGATCTCTTCGGACAATTTTTCAAGGACATGACGTCTCTCGAGATCAAGAACCTCGGCATGTTGAACAAGTTTCTTGGACTTAGGGTCAAGCTGGACGAAAACGAAGGCTACGTGTTAGATCAAAAAGTAACCATCGATTCACTGCTAAAGGAACATGGACTAGCTACAGCTAACGGGGTTCGATCTCCAATAGAAGAAGAATGCAATGACGTCGATGAGAAGAATTTGGAGTCCCTGAAGTCGACCGCCAAAGCTGGAGATGCAAGTGTCAAGGCCTTCCAGTCACTCTTCGGAAGGTTACTCTAGATCGCGCGTTGCACTCGACCGGACATTTGTTTCGCGGTACACCGAGCGACTCGACAGACTCACAAAAGCCGACAACCAAGGATTGGAGAATGGCGAAACGAGTCGCAAGATACCTGAAGGAAACCAAGAGTTTGAAGTTGTGCATCAACAGCTCACGCGGTATGGACGACCCAATCAAGATTGAAAGCTGGAGTGATGCAGACCCGGACAAGTCGGACCACAAGTCAGTCACGAGATACGTTCTCACGATGGATGGTGCTGTCGTGTCATGAGCGTGCAAGAAGCAGACGGGTGTGTCGCTGAGCACTATGGAAGCTGAGTTCATCGCGGCATCCCACGCTGGTCGCGAGCTGTTGGGTTTGAAGGAACTGTTTGGCGAATTGAACATGAAGATCGTCAAGCCGATGCCAATGTGGATGGATAATCAAGCCGCAATCAACTTGTTGAAGACCGAGAAGAGCTCATCAAGTGCAAAGCATGTGGACATTCGATTCAAGTTCATCTGCCACTACGCTCAAGCAAACGAGGTTGAGCCACGCTTCATCAGGTCAGAAGAGATGATTGCTGATCTTCTGACTAAAGCGCTGGCAGCACCAAGGATGAGGGACCTACGTGCGATGTTCAAGTTAGAGAACCCTCCGAATACGGTTGAAGAGGAGTGTCAGAAGCTATTGTTGTTGACAGGTCGTGAAGGTCAAGGGCAATACCCTGTCACGCAGTAAGTAAAAACCGTACCTGATTGGCTAAACAGACTTGATGTGCTGACAGATGGGACGAGGCGACGATATCGCCACGTCGGACCACCAGGATGTTGCGACATATGTGACGAGGCGACGAGATTACCACATCGTCTTGTAGATGTCGTAACAGATGGGACGGAGCGGGATAGATGTGAACTATAGATGGTATAGTTGCAGTCGGTTTCGCATGCATGTGTAGGTAGGTATTAGCGAACGAGGTAAGTTAATGCTTAATATATCACACTTTAACTTCTACATCTTCTGCAACAAGTGCAGCAACACTACTACCAATTTCTTACAGATGATGCTTACGCAGCCCAAAGTGTGTAATAGAAAATAAACGTTGCTGAGCTGTAGAAGTACAAAGATTTATCTGCGACAAAGATCGATTGCAAATTATCATGATTTCAGCTCGTCACTTTTTTCGTATTCGGAGCATCTGTGGTATCCTGTGCATCACGATTACATATATGACAGTTTGGATTGTCAAGTTAAATATATTAAACACATACATGAAGTTATACAGAAAATAATTTTTTTTATCTTATTACTTAAATCCTTGCATAAATATCAAAAGGAGGTAAATATCATATCTATTATTAAGATGTTTTGCTAATAAAAGTAGACCTGAATATATAAGAAATGGAATTTTTTGTGACCACATTATAAATCGTTAAACATATCTTTGAACGGGTGAAGCTATATGTAAGCAGTAACTTATCACCCTTTTAATGAATTAGAGGGCTTTACCTTAATTTTATAATGAAATTTTTGAATATGGTATACTCTTAAACTAATAACTCCTGCAATTTGACTAAAATTCCCGTAAGTCCTGTATTATTTCTTAAAGCCATTTTCTACCTATCTACAAGCATAACAAACACCTCTCCAACCTCATTATGTATTTCATCCAATAAAACCAGCTCATTTGTCTCCTCCACACAAAAGCTCCATCGCCTTGACATGAAGTTGATGCTGCTGACAGCGCGACGATTGGTGCGTGCGGTGCGTCCCACTGCAACCACAACGTTGTGTTCGTCCACGCGCCCTTCTTTCAACACTATTTTGATTCCTGGTACGCGTTTTCTTAGCGATAAACCCCGCGATGTGACGAACAAGAAGAAAAAGAGCAGGAGTCTGGAACCCTCCCAGCTCTTTGGATCAAAAGACGACAGTGACTCGGAATCAGATTCAGATAGTAGTGACTCGGAATCAGATTCAGATAGTAGTGACTCGGAATCAGAGGACGAAGACGAAGAAGTGGAAGAATTGCTGCCTATTGACGAAGAAGGCATTTCAATTGATGAGCGACGGCGCCGTCTTGACGCCTTCCTCGCTCACAATGCCGAGTTCTTTGATGAAAAGCGTTGGGGTGCCCAGGATGGTGAAGAGTGGTTTGGATTTGATGGAAATATTGACGCCAAGACGGACAAGGGAGTTCCCACGTGGCTGCAGTCGATCCGTAATATGGTCAGCGTGGAGGAAGAGCGTGCCATTCGTGCAAAATCAGCACGTATCGCTTTTCACGAGGCGAAAAACAAGATTGTTCGTGTAAAAAACGTTGATGCAAAGGGACGTGCTTATGGTACTGGTCGTCGTAAGACCAGCGTGGCTCGTGTGTGGATTAAACCCGCTACTCAGCCTTTTACCGGTTGCATTAAGGTCAACAAGAAGGATCTAGTGGACTATTTTGTGCGTGACACCCATCGTGAAGACGTGCTTCAGCCATTTTCTGTCGTGGAACAGATTGGTGGATTCGACGTGTACTGTACAGTGAAGGGAGGAGGGATGACAGGTCAGGCGGGTGCCGTGCGTCACGGTATCGCTCGTGCACTGGAGAATTTCAATCCTGAATTGCGTCCGGCTCTTAAAAAGGCAGGTCTGCTCACACGTGATTCGCGTATGGTTGAAAGAAAGAAGGCTGGTCAGGCCAAGGCCCGTAAGAAATTTCAATGGGTCAAGAGATAGATACAAGGCAAGAGGGCTCTTGTGAAAAGAGGTAGACGACAGTGAGGAGACCGAAGAAGGCGAGTGGACGTATACAGGCATCTGCGTTAAAGCTTTTACTACGGCAGTTTGCCAATTGTGCATCCGTTTTCTTTTATTCCATACATACGTGAAGAAAGCAAAGCTTGAGAGCGATGCAGCAATTGTCATCATTGTTGCCAAGCTTGTTCTTTATCAATCTTTTCCTCTTACGATCTGGTTTGTGCTGCTACAGCGCCATGGACGCTTCAAGCTTCCTCAACGCTTCCAGTTCATCTTCGTCCGCGTCGCCCACCACATTAATTTTGGACTCGACAGTATGAGTTGGTACATCTGGTAAATTGTACTGTGCCGTCGGTGCAGGAGACGCTGACGGAGCTGTTGGAGTAGCAACTGGAAGCGTTGGCGCTCTGTCCTTCACCGGTGCGTCTCTTGGTGTGGCTACAACAGGCTCCAGTGTCTTTTCTTCCAGCTCAAGCTCTTCCATTTCACGAAGCTCGTCCTCAAGCTCATCATCATCGTAGAGCTGTGAGCCAAGAGGTTGTGAGATGGCACGTCCAATTTCATCTGCTGTAGCCATTTCTTCTTGAATATCGTCCATAATATTGTCCACCTTGTCGACATTCATCTGGCCGTGAATGGCCTTCATTTGCTCAGCACCAGATCGTAACGCCGTGAACGTTTCCATGTTCACATGTGCACTCTCAAGTGTCATAACTTGTGTCTCTAACGTCATACGTGCCCCCTGCAGTTTTTCCACTTCAGCCTCATACATTTTCTTCCGTTTCAATGCAAAAATCGCCCCACGTTTGTCTTTTGCTGCGCTTTTGTGCTTGGCTTCTTGTAATTGCAATGCAATTTTCTTAACAATATGAAGTTCACGTTTCTCAAGTGACTCGAGCTGTTCACGCAATTTACGAATCGTATCGGCTGTTGCGACGGGGCCCATACGCGCCGGGGCCGCTGACTTGCGTCCAAATAGCTTCATCCAAGTGTCGAGAATCCAAGGTATGAGTCTTAGAATTACTTTAGCCAGATAAAGTGACGCGTAAGTAGCAATACTAATATATAGCATAAACTTTTAATAAATCATATAACATGTACACAACACCAATAGTATCCCTGTCACTTTTTGAAATTCCTCCTTTATATGATGACGTACATGGTTCGTCAGTGGAGCGTATTCCTGCAACAGCCGGTACTGCCCCGTCACACCACATATTCGAATTCATGGTTACGTCATCTTACGTTGTTCCGTCTTTTGTTACTTTTCATCTGTCTCTGTGTCTGTTATGGATACACTTTCTTATTGATACGGTACGGCAGTATCTCACCCATTGCAACGGCGCTTTATACGACGGCTTATGATGGCCGTACAGCCAATGATCGACCACCACTATCGCCACCTTGGCGTCCACTATTTCGTGTCGTTGTGTCACTTACTACGACACCAAATCGGATCGATAAAGTCATGGACAGTGTGCGTTCTTTAACGAAACAAAGTCTTTTACCGGATCAAATTTACGTGAATATTCCAACAGGACCAATGAAACGACATCCAGAACGTTCCTATGATGAGATTGAGATCCCATTGGAGCTTACAAGTCTCACACCTTTGGTCCATATCAATCGCTGTGTTGATGACGGTCCTGCCACTAAATTGCTAGGAGCTCTGAGACTGGAAAACAATGCGTCGACGCTGATTATTACACTTGATGACGACTTTGTATACCCTCCAGAGCTCGTGGCTTCTCTGGCGTGGGAAGCTGAAGCGAAGCCAGATGATGTACTGGGTGTTTGTGGATGGGGAATGCTTCCCATGTGGCATCAAGTGGGTGTAGTACCAGCTTATGTGCCTTACTTTATGCGTCCCAATGGACGTTATGTGGATATTTTGCAAGCATGCTGTGGCAATGCTTATCGACGAGGTTTCTTTACAGATGTAGAAGCTCTTGCGGTGATTCCACCGGTATGTGTGACGGTCGATGATGTGTGGATTGCTGGATATTTACGGACAGTGGAGCAGAGACGTAGTGCATTGATCAGCAAAAGGTTGGATCCGTTAGATCCACCGTGGAAAAAGGAGGAAGCACACTCGTCGGAACGACAAATGACTCTATCCAGCTATAACCATGAACATCAGGTACACTACAAGTGTGTACAGGCGCTCGAAGCGAAGTTCCAGCGGCGGTGGACGCGCAACTTTGAAGAAAAAGTGGCAGAACTAAATAAACAAGTCGGCTAGTATGCTAGGTGTTGCAAGCAGCGGGACGTCTAATAGCGTTGCCTACACACATCACTTAGCTACTTACAACATTAAACACGTGATTAGGCTTGCGCATTGCAGTGCTTTTGCCTTTACTGTCGATGCAAACAATGCTTTCCACCTCTCATCCAACCAAACACAAATTGATCTCGCACTATTCCAGCAGATATTTACAGGAGGTAGAAGACAAGTCGAAAGAATGTAAACCAGTTCGCCTTTATTACCTGCAATCGACAGCCTCTTCAAGATGATCCAACGCATCTACTCGTTACTGTTGTGAATGGCACCAGCCTCGTCTACGGACGAAATTTGACTGCAAATAAAACAAATCACATATCTAAGACGTCTTGTATAATGAAGATGACGATACAAGATCAAAATAGTACGTACATCCACTTCTTGTCAAGCGTCTCCTTCCAGAGCGTCACCTTGTGATCACCCGAAGACACAGCTAGCACGTTGCCGGTAACAGACCAGCTCACACGCCACACAGGTGCGTCGAAGGTATGCAGTAGCTCACGCTTCCACGCGCTGTCTTCTGCAGATTGCGACCAGATGTACACGTGCTTGTCCTCCGAGCAACTGGCTATAAGGTTAACCGGCAGTCCCGTGCTAGGGGCCCACGCCACATCACGCACCCAATCGCTGTGTGCGGGAGCAGAGCTCAGCTCCTGTTTCGTCCATTCCTTCTCACCTTCTGTCAGGCTCCAAATCTTGATCGTCTTGTCACAAGACGCCGTCACCACACGACGGATAGGACCCGCAGGACTCTGTGAGCCTACCGAATTGAATGGCGCCCAGCTCACGGCATTGCAGCCTAGCGCGCTGTCCTTAAAGTGGCTCACACTCCATCCCTCAGCTGCAGACAATCACAACAATAGCATCATCATCACCAGTCCTTTAAACCCCGTGTTTGTGTATCCAGACATATGACGTCATCACCACAGCTGCCACGTACGAGAGTAGCTGAGCACAGAGACGGTGCCATCTGCTGATGCACAAGCAAGAGCAAGTCCGTATTCATGTGGTGCCCAGGCAATGCTATTGACTGAAGATTCGTGGATTGCATGCACATAAGCCTGCGTCCATTGGTTTAAACTCTGTTCACGGTAGATAATCACTTTGCCATCGTATGAACAGGCAGCCAATAGCACACCAAATTTAGGATGTGCCCATGATACTTGCCATACGGGACCTTCATGGCTACATTTGTAATAACCATAACCATAAAAACATAACGTTAATTTAAGGGACTCTAATTCAATCAAATTACGTTATTACGGACCCTGTCAGAATTTGTTCATTATTCTGCACGTCGCCTGTAACATCGTAAACTTTAATAGTTCGATCGGAGGAACACGTAGCTAAACGTTTGCCATAGTAATCCAACTGAGCGTCATGCTATTTTAATGTAATGTACATAAAATAATAAAGTATTAGTTTAATTTAGTAATTTATCGTCTTTAAACCGCAAAAAAACGTGGAAAAGAAGAAGAAAAGAATGAAAGCTTAGATAGCATACAATCATGTCTTCATGTTGCGTATCGATGGAGAGAATTGGAGCGCTCATGGTCATGGACGGGGGGAGGATGAAGAGCTCGTCGTATGACTTATTTATTGTGTGCTTTGGTGGCAGGGTTCAAAATTGATGTGGTTTACACATGATTACGTGATAGTGGTAAGAAAAAGTGTTTTACATGAAAAATGCTTTGTATGAAATTATACTGCACAAAATGAGATGACAAAAGGTGTCCATCTCGAGTCCTCATGCTACTGTTGTCTCTCTTTGTCTCCTGTGTTGTTGGTCATTCACCAGCCTGGATTCTCATCTTCTTTTGGCACCACCATAACAAGACTCTGCCAGCCAAATTCTTTCCACTTCAGTTGGAATATTAAAACCCATGACATGAACAATACCGTCCAAAAGAGAAACCCCAAGAACGAACGTCGCACCCCTACGAGATAAAGAGACAAGACACATGGTCAGACACACAATAGCAATTTGACTATAATGTAGTAGAATGTACTGTAGCTAGACATACAACGTGTGACAGATGCGTCAATAGACGAATCTAAAAACTGTTTATGGTAGAAAACAACAGTGACGAGATGTAGCCATGGCAAGAACACTAGTCCGCCTAGAAACATCTTCTTGGCCACGGATTCATCGGCTTCTTTGTTCAAATTACGTGTAAAATTGCCACGATTATTTGTGTCGGCAGTACCCTCAGTCGAGTCAGGACGCAATGTCTCTTCCAGCACGGGCGTGTCCGTCACTGACTCGTTTGGTTCATTCCTCATTATTTTGGTCGCTGACTGTCTGAAATTTAGAAACTGAGTCGTCGTTTCTAAACCGCCGGATTGGATTTTTGTCCAATTATATTGTCGAATAATATGATTGGATAAAAGTCTGCCATTTCTTGTCAATTATCATGGCAGGTACGCGGCTGCAGATCGTCGGTGCCTTCGTGCTCTTTACGCTCATAATAACACCCATGGCATGGCATTTGACACAAGTAGAGCGTGTGGACCTTCCTGTGTCACGTATCCATCAATTATCGTGGCAAACGTCACGTTTTGGTGGTCCAGACACGTTTCAAGTCGACATTTACAGTCTGAGCAGCTCCAGTCCAGCGATATCGTTGTTTCCTCTGCCTTCTAGTGCCTCAAATGTCGTGTATGTAACACACCATTTGGAACTTGATGATCAGCAGAAGGAAATGCTGCAAAACTCAGTCAAACTAGGACTACAGATCACGGACGACGCTCTAAAGACGCTGATACCGACAATGGACAAGCATTTTAGTGTATTCTTGTTTTGTGACGAGAAATTGGCAGGTTCTGCTCCATTGTTAATGGTTGGAAAGCACCGGCATGCGTGGTCATGGCAATGTAAAGTGGCTATGAGAGATGCAGTGCATTCTGCCATTGAAAAGCTCATGCAGAACCATGTGTATCCACTGGTTGAGGCGAGTGTTAAGCAGAATATGAAGACAAAGACTGCACGGAGAGCACTGAACTATCGACTGCAGTTTTCTCTTTTGAAAGAGAATCCTGTGACGCCATGGAAGGAGGATCTACAGACGTTGGTAGACCAGTATTTGGGCAGATTTGTACAGAAGGTTGGAGCCGTTGCCAATTTTAAAGTGGAGACGCAGGTTGTGCAGTATGCAAGACTGGCAAAGGAGATCACACCGAGTGCTGACGGAAGCAAGTTTTACATCAATGCTGAAGATCTTAAACATGTAAGTGCACTGTTGGTGAAAACGGACAGACGTATGACACTCTGATGGACTCTGGTCGTTCTTGATGTTATAGTTTAAAAGCGCAAACGACTTTTTAGACGCCTCCGTCCTGGAGGATAGAGAGCAGGTTCTTCACTTTATGGCTGCTCTTCCTGATTTTGTACACGCTCCGCTGTATATTCGTTCTGCAGGTCAAAAAGAGAATGAAAACGCCCTCGCAACGTCGTTTGAGCTGCCAGGGTGGGGCATTGCTGTCATCTTGAACTCTTATGCACTCAATGAAACATTTACCGGTGACGCAGCTGCATCAGTGTCAGCAACGAAGGAACGTGAGCTCCAGCGAGTCATGGGACTTTTTGTCTCGGAGTTTCGCACATTACTTGGCGTTCCGTCGTTCTGGCATCGGCAAAGAGAGGAGGAGCATGTGGCAAGTGACGATACATCGAGACAACGACTTTTGTTTCTGCCGTCGCCAGCCGATGGCATTGCTGACTGGGAATTGGATGTCGTCATGCGTGAACGATTTACCAATCTCATGCAATCAGCAATTGAGACATTGCAGTCGACTGTGAAGCTTGTGGAAGCACTGCCGGAGCTGAGCGTCCTGGAGCGAGTACAAACGCGAGTGGAGACAGCCGTTACGCGACTTGAGGACATTCTGTGCGACAGCATTCAAGAACAGCAGCAAACTTGTGTGGACGCATCGGACCTTCCTCGTTTGTTGGCTATGGCCCGTCAAGCATCCGAGTTGACGAATGCTGCGTATTATGACCATACGATGATCCGTCAACTTTATTTTCCACAAGGGCAAATGCTGGGTGTCTATGCACCACTTCTTGCTCCTCTTCTTTTGCCTTTTCTATTGGGATTGATACGTGAAATGAAACGTTTTAAGGCGAAGCGTCTCGCAAAAACGGTCAAGTCGCAATAATAACGCGAATAAAATGTAGCCATGTTATTGCTAAAAAATAGTTGCTAAGTTAAAACGTCTTTTCACTTTCGCGCAACATTTTCAATCCTCATTTCCACATTTCCAACGTCGGACAAGATCACAAACGTCTTGGAATTCAGGTATGTGTATGTACCTCTCTCCTGCTGTCCACACGATGTTTTAGGCAATAAGACCGACACCACTCTCTTCATTATCATGTCCTCTTTCGATCTATACCATTATTACCTCTTTATGCCTTCTAATACATTCATAATTTACCTTTTTCTATACCTAGTTGTCATGGCCTCGGAAGATTCACTTTTTGGTGCTTCTATGGACGGATTACCAGCTTTTTTTACAAATGGGAGTGTGGACGACACGAAATACGAGTCACTCTTGGCTGATTTACGAGCTCATGATCTCTTGGGACCCGTGGAAAGCAGTACTGAAGCCAAAGACGTCGCTGGATCGTCACTTTTCTTTAATGACGCATTTTCTGCTATTTTTATGGGCAATTTCCAGTCAAAAACACCCTCTGGAGACAATGAGACAAGTGAAGAAGCTTCTAATCTTGTACCCCCTGGTCTCAGTGCTCCACCTGGACTAAAAGTACCTTTAGAAGATTTGAAATGGGCCAGAGGTCAACAGGAATTTTCGAGACTTGAAGAGAGATTTCATGGCAATTTAATGGAGAAAAAGAGTCGTCTTACGACTGCTGGACGAGCTCCACCACCAGGTTTGAGCTTGGAACAAGATGCTGAGCTGGATGAGAATCAAGTGCCGGGTCTTAGTGGACTAGGCCTCGATGACGACGACTCGGTACCTTCAACGTCAAAGCAGACTCCACCTTCACAGACTCCTCCTGTTCCAGATCCACTATTGCCTCCTACACAGAACAAGCAGCCGCCAAACGCATGGGGTGCGCCTCAGACGGCACCGTCGCCCCCGAATCATCATCAGCAGCAGCAGTATATGCCACCTCCGCTGCCTCATATGCAGGAACAACCTCCTCGCCCAATGCACATGCAAGGTCCTCCGAACCCGGGGATGTACCCAGGTGGTCCTCCGATGCCTCCGCAGTACTATGGGCATGGTCCGCCTCCCCCGATGCAACCGCCATTCCCTGGTTCCTCTGGCGCGTTCGGGCGCAATGGCATACCCCACCCGCCACCGCAGATGCACCCGCCTGCCTTCAAAATGATGACGCCGCGTGATGTGAACTTTGTGATGCAACAGCAGATGAAGTGGATGCGCTCGAGTGATCCGTTCAGTGATGACTACTACTTCTACAACTTTATGCAAAAGCGCTCACGTGTCGGTGTGCCTGGCCGTCCATCGGTACCGCTTCCTTCATGGAAGCTACAGCATGTTAAATCTGTTGACCCGCGAGATGCACAGCGCGAAGTGAAGTCGCGCAACTGGGAGTCGGAGTATAACGTGCTTGGACGCAACACTAAGAGTAGTTTGTACCGCCCAAGGCAGTTGCTGAACCTCGCAGGCACAGAAGAGGCTAGTTCGCCTCCTTCATCGTCCACAACAAATACTGAGGATCCAGAATGCACACCATTCAGTGCTGGTGAGGGTGAGAAGGCAACCTCATCCTCTGCATTTGCGGCAGCCGAGTCTAGCAGTGAAGCTTCCAGCTCCAATCATGTGCGTGGATCAAGCCATGGTGCCCAGGTTGTCGCTGCAGAAGCCCAGGCCGCCAAGGTCTTGCGAATGAGCGAAGATGCCAGCCGCAACTCGGTTTTCAATAATGACACGTGGAACCTGCGTCTCCAGTTGGACCGCGGAATGCAATGCTTGCTGTCCCTACAGGACGCGCGCCACCTGCTGGATGCCCGTGGCATTAATGTGCAGCAGTTCCACTCGATGAACAAGGATGAAATGGATCCAGCGCTTGTTGAACTGCGCTCGCGGACAACGTCGTTGTTGCTCGAGTTAGCGGCTGTGTTGGGTGTCAATGTAACCCACTCTAGCGATGCAGACAATGATGCTGCATCTCCTGGTGTAATGAGCTGTGATGTACAGCAGCTGCTAAAGATGCTGACAGCCACTAAGGGTAAGATGCTGGTGAGTCGTGCGCTGCCGCTGTTGCACCCGTCGGCCCGTTTCGTCCTTTTGCCTCTTCTAGTTGATTATGTTTTGTCCGGACGGACTGACGGTGGACGCCAGCTTAATGTCAACGATGCAGGTGACGAACGGCTTTGCCAGACATTGGTGCTCATGTTGCTCTATGTGCCGCCTGCGCCACCTGCTGAATTGCTGACCGAGTGCCTCCATCGAGCGTTGACTGGCCACGATGTGCAGTCATTATCTGTTGTGCTTCACAACCGCGCGCGTGCTGAGGCCCTTCAGGCACTCTTGCAGCGTGGTGGATCGGCTGTACAGCAGCTAGCAGAGACTGAAGGAGCCAACGCTGAGCACGTGAACACTATCAAGCAGCAGTGGGAGCAGCAGCAGGGCTTGTTTGTGCAGCTGGCTACCGCCGTCAAGCAAGCGACTTAAGAGGTATCGCGTTAATTTGCTACCGCGACGACTGTGGTGTCTACTCGATGCATCAATGCATGTTGCATTTTGCTTTCATTTAACATTTCTTTATTTGAGTGTTGTCTTATGTGCTTGCCTTGATATCCTCTTCCAGAATGCACACCTGCACCATCCTCGAGAGTGTGGCATCCACGGATAAGTCCGGGATCATTGCCATGGTACAGGACTGCTTTGTTGCTTACTCGGCAATGGTTTCCTGCTCCTGAGGTGGAACCTTTGCTTTCATGACCTCCTGATAGAGTAAGTCCTTTAGTGTTTGCGGATCATACGACACTTGAGCGTAATCGAACTGCGTGAGCTTCGTCGCTACGTCGGCATGACACGGTTGCTCCAACTGCATATTGCGCCACTGGCTCACGTATGGGTGCTCTAGCGCCTCGGCAGCCGTGATACGGTTGGCCGGATCAAACTGTAACAAGCGATCCAGCAGATCAAGTCCGTCCGGATTGGCTTCTGGAAAGACCTGCGACCAATCCACTTTTGCCACCTTCTGGCTTTGGATCAGAAACTGGCGTCCAGCGTAGCGGCACGCAACGGGGTTATCGCAGAAACTGAAGGTCGTGGGCGTGCCTACAATATCTACGATCACTTTGAGCTGATCCACATACGACGTGCCTGGAAACATGATTCGCCGCCCCAATAGCTCAGCAAAAATGCAGCCGATTGCCCACATATCAATTGCCTTCGTGTACGCGTTAGCCAGCAAAAGCTCTGGAGCACGGTACCACCGTGTAACCACATATTCCGAGAGTCCTTCTGCAAGGTCTCGATCATTGGCATGCCGCGCAAGCCCGAAATCACAGATCTTAAGTCGGCAGTCCGAGTTCACGAGAATGTTGCTCGGCTTAATGTCGCGATGCAACACATCTGCAGAATGTAGATAGTGAATGCCACAAAGCATTTGGTACAAAAAGTATTGCACCTGGTCGTCGTTTAGACTCTCCTTTGAATGAATAATGCGGCATAGGTCTGTTTCCATAAGTGGCTGAATGATATACAAATCTTCAAAATGTTCATAGTCAAGCGGTCGCTGCAGCTCGTGAAAGCCCATAAGGCAGGGGTGAGTACCAATCTCGCTCATTAGTTTAATCTCACGCAGGGCTAGTAATGCCACCTTCGGATGCCGCAAAAATTGACCCAGTTTCTTGATTGCAAACGTGCCGCCGTTTACAAAATCGCTTGCTGCTATCACCTCACCGTACGTTCCCTTTCCAACAATTTTCACCATGCGGTACTTTTCTGCTAGCTGATACCGCACTCCGTTAATAACGAACTGATGCATGATTTCCTCCCCAGGAAGTGTAAACTGCTGTTTTTTTGTAAACGAGCGAAAGCTCGTACGTGCTGACGGAAGAGATGCAGCACCGACAACACTACCATCTTCTGAGCAGAAGCTATCCCTATAGCTCTCCCGAAAGCTCGACATCGGGGATTGCTGCGAGATTGGCCGGTGTGACATGGAAGATATCGTGAGGCCCAGTAGCAACTTACCAAAAAAGCTTTGGCGATCGTTCGACAGCACGTAACTCTGCAGTTCGCCTTCGATAGTCTTTCTACGACCTCGTCGCCCCATCAGTAGACTGGAAATCGTTCCGTTAGTACCAATGATGCTGCCAGCAGTGCTGCCGTTCAAAATGCTGGCGAGGTTCACATGAGTACGAGCAACAACCTCGTAATTTGAATTACGACAACACTCAACAAGCAGCACGGTATTGTCATCACGCGATAGTCTATCAAACTGCAAAAACAGTTCTTGCTGATAATCGTATGACCACGATGGCACAAGTTCGGTGCCGGACGAGTCGGTAGGGCATTTTACTGGAGAAGCTGCTCGAGACTGAGCTTCCGTATGCCACACGTCTTCAAATTCGTTCGTATCTAGAGAACAGCGCACAAAAAATTCATCTCCTTGCAGCTCCCGCGAGCGAACATCCGTAATTTGGCCTAGATGGATTGACACAACATATCCGCCGACAACAGATTCACGAATACGCTCAGATAGCGACGGTAATGTAAGATTCGTTGTGCACCCAGGCGCTTTGAATACCACACTAGAAGCCACAACATCGCCAAAAATCTCCCACCGACTTACTCGGCCACTATCCTCAGGCTTAAAGTGTAGCTTGTGTGTCCACTGTTGCATAAATGTCGTTTGATTGTATCGTACCTGCATGGTCTCTCTTCCAGAAATGACAACGACACGATTACGATTCCGCCGGTGTCGAGGTTCCACATGAACATTGTCATTTTCATGCTGCTCTTCATTCTCTTCCATCTGAATACTCTCGACAATAAATTGTTCCACTTGCACCGACTGGGACAATCTTGAAAAATACTCGAGCACTCCATTAAAACCACGATATTTTCCTTCAAAAGGTACCATGGGCAAATAATTACTCCGTAAAATCACGTCTGATTTTAACAGTGAAAATAAACGCACAAGTGCGTGATCCATTGGTGGAATGACATTAGTCTTGGCCAATGGTTGATTAGGTGTAATTGGCACAAATGTAGCCATTGATTTCTTCGTACCCACCAAAAGATTTGAATAATCCATTTCTTCCGTACTTGATCCTACTTCAGGTGTACTTGGTGTATCGACCATTTTAAACGGTGACGATGATGATGATGATGATGATGATGGCCATTCCATCTGATCTTCCCGTTCATCGGCCGTCACTCGTACACAAAGTGTCGTATAAAAATATTGATAACAATTGTAAAAATCCGCAACATTTGTCCGAAAATGTTGCAAATGTAATTTCAACGACCCCGTCAATTCATAATCCGCAATCCCATTGGCTATAAATTGTAACCACACATGTTTACTAGCTTCCGAATTGGTCCGAAAATGTAATTGATGTCCTTTTTCTGTTGCCACCGTAAACCGAAACGCTGAATGTTGTGTTTTTTTGAGTCCCGAGTCGCCTCCATTTTGGTCCACGGATAAAATCACGGGTAAAAACGTTTCATCGACATTAAACGCTTTTATAAGAGCCACGCGGTCGGAAAAACGAAATTTGCCTTTTTTTATCTTGGATTTTGCATTCTGACGATTTGCATCTTCTTGGGATAAATAACAATAGAGTAACCTACCCCGCAAGACAAAATAATACGTTTCCCAATGTTTTAACCAATCACTGCATTTTTGTAAATACCCTTCCCAATGATATCGTAATGGGACATCATGAGGTCTAAATTCCACTGAAGTCGAAAGAGCATGGGAGGGATCATTAATTGATGATGATGATGGTGGAATTAGACGACGACGGGGAAGATTTAGTTGATAATTCAATGGGTCTTGAACGTAACGCCATGGGAAAAATATATTGGGGTGTTTGTATTTGGAAACGAGGTGGGGTTTTAGTGGTAGTTAGATGAAGAATTAGATGAGACAGGAGATGAAATAAGGCGTTAGGTGAGAGCTGATTTAGGTCCTTTGGAGGTGATTTAGTACGTGATTTGATTTAAGAGGTATTAGGTTTTATACTGGTGTGGGATCAGAACCATTACTTTTTAATAAACTACTTTTTTTAATCATGCAACCTTAAATTAAACTTCATTGACATCCGTATGTCAAGGTTTTTTTATTAACGACGAAAAAAACACGCACCTGCGACATTTGCGTGTTTTTATGTGCATGGTTAAGTGAAAAAGATACCTGATAAGAACGTACCTTTTTAAAAACACTTTCTTTGGGAAAATGCCAAACCTTTTGTGATTTTTCTTAAATAATTATAATTTGTTTTACTTTTTTATGGCAAAACTTCTTGTTCCAAAGCTGTCATGAACCGCAAACGTGAGTGGGTCACGAGTCAACAGCTACGTGCGTATGAGAGTGAACCCTCTACATCTACTGACCAATACGACAGTAGCTCAGAAGCTGGTGAAGTGATTGAAAATGAAATGAAGCGGTTGCGTGTAGCTTACAATTACGACGGTAAACAATAATATTGGGCACCATAATTGCCATAATTGTCAAATTATGGGTTCTAAATTTAAGTTCCATATGACCCATAATTGTCTAGGTGCCCATGGAGTACGATGGGCAGGCGAAGCCATCGTAATGGACACGGATATGGAAATTCCTCGTGCAAAAGCTGTACGCAGTACCTATGCTGAAGTCAATACGATGCTACGAGAATTTCACTACTTGCGGCAGCTACGCAAGTTCCAGGCAGAAAGAGGACGAGCTCGAGCCATGTACTTCATGGACAAGACCGACACAAATGCAGCCACGTGACATGAATTGAGACGAAACTCAGAACGTCACACTTGACGTGGAGCTCATAGGATTAACTTTAAAAAACTGGTAGCAGCAAAAACTACATGGGACACCATGTATACAGACCGTAATGTGCACTGACAGTGGTCACCATTTCAAAAAAAACTCATCCCATGTTCTCTTTCCACTATAAAAACGGCTTACGGCAGTTCCGACGTCTGTAGATTGGCCGCAAACTCACGCTCGCTTTCAAATAGAGGCGACGACAGGTAACGTTCACCAAAGCTCGGTAAGATGGTCACAATAAGCTTGTCCTTGTTTTCGGGACGTTTTGCGAGCTCAAGACTCGCCACGACGGCAGCACCAGATGACGGACCAACAAGAATTCCCTCCTCTAGAGCTAGACGTTTAGCCATAGCAAAGGCATCTGGACTACTGGCTGTAATGACTTCATCGATCAAATCACGTTCAAGTACTGAAGGTACAAATCCAGCACCAATTCCTTGAATCTTGTGAGGTGCAGGGTTTCCACCTGATAAGACTGGGCTCTCTTCAGGCTCAACAGCCACAATCTTAATACTTGGCTTCTTCGGTTTCAAATAACGGGCTGTACCTGTTAAAGTACCACCAGTACCGACACCCGAGACAAAAAAGTCAACCAGTCCGTCCGTATCACGCCAAATCTCAGGACCTGTGGTCTCAAAATGAATTTGTGGATTAGCGGGATTATCAAATTGACCAAGAATTAACGACTTTTCGGGCTTGTTTTTCACCAAATCTTCTGCTTTAGCAACAGCTCCAGTCATTCCTTTGGCTCCAGGAGTCAAGACAACGTCACAACCAAATGATTTGAGCAAAATACGACGTTCCATTGACATGGTATCAGGCATGACTAATGTGAGTTTATAACCACGCACAGCAGCCGCAAAAGCGAGACCAATACCGGTATTACCACTAGTAGGTTCAATAATATGATGATCTTTTGTAAGTCGTCCCGTTTTTTCAGCATCATTGATCATACTGAGACCAATACGATCTTTAACAGACGCACATGGCTCCATAAATTCACATTTAACTGCAATTTTAGCATAACAATTTTCTGTTACGTGATTTAAATAAACTAATGGTGTGTTTCCAATAAGTTCCGTCATATCTTTAGCAATGTGAAGTGAACGAGTGTGATGACGTAGCAACGAGATGCGACGGGAAGCAAATAGAAAAGGAGAAAACATCTTGAATAGGGGAATAGAGGGAGAATTAGAGGGAGAATTCAATAATGAAAGTAAATAGAGTTGACGAGAAAAACGCTATGTTTGACACGATGAGTAGGAGAAGGATCGGATTGGCTGATTTTGAAATACTAATGCGACGAATCAGAGTACGTTAATGCGATGAATGGTAGAATATACTGAATGCGATTGGTCAATATCAAGCTCTGACAGGGTCACTTACTGAATGGGTTCATTTTACTAACTTCAAGTATTATACCACTGATATTAGTTAATACCAAACTTCAAAATAAGCTTACAATATTAAACCTGTTACCTCATTGTTATCTCTCTGTACATAGCAATCCTTCCTCCTCTCTCAAATCATCAGGTTTCGACTAAAAAAAACATTGACACCAAACATCGTGCCACTTGCAATAGTTTGGAACTTCAAGTCACTCCAAATAACGGCGTTTCACCGTAAGTCGACCACTTTCGGGGCTGAGATAGCCTCGGATTAAAAACCGACCAAAACAGTTCTTCCCCTTGCCAAGCACAATGTAGCGGCTTGCTGCGACTTCATCGCAATCCTTCTCATCACTCTCGTAGCCCTTCATGTCCTCATCTTCATCCTCATCTTCTTCGTCTGAAGAAGGCATAGGCAAGAACTGCAAATCCACTTGCTCTTCTCGAACCTTGATCAAGCTTCCGTTAGGCTGTCGTAGCTTAAAAAACCCTCCGTACTTGCCCGAGATAGGACGTTTATCATCTTTGCGTCGCGACTGGAGCACGCGTGCATGTGACGTATACTCGAACGGGCTAATGCTCTCAGTATCTAGGAAAGCTTCCTCGGTAAAACCCCAATTTCCCTGAAAACATGCGCGACGATTCTTGCGCACCGAGTAGGAACCCTTGAGAATCGGATCGGCTGCTTCCGAATTAAAAACTGCAAACTCGGACGAAATGGCTGGCTTTGGTATTTTGCGCTTGCGTTTCAGTCGCCTCGGAGGTGAATTGCTGAGTTCCGAGGAGCGAACGCGCTTCTGTTTCTTGTACTGCAATAGCTTGCGAGGACCATTGTTTCCTGATAGACGACGCTTCTTTGATCCAAAACCTTTACTCTCGTCCTCTGAAGAGCTCGCACTGCTGCAACAAGAAGCCGATGAAGACGATGACGAACCGGACAACGCGAAGCTAGGGCTCCTGCTGCTGTTGACAGGAACGATTCGCGTGTCTACGCTCCCGGCACTGTTCGTATTCGCGTAGTCCTCGAGAATTTGCGTGACACCCCCAGGGAGGTCAACGACGCCGTCAAAACCAAAGACGTCGTCAGTGGTCTCATGGAGTGCGATTTCCTCATCATCTTCTTCGTCTTCGTCAAACCACTGATATCCATGATTCTTCGACTCTACTTCCATAACGGTGTCTACAATCTCATCGTGCTCAGGAAGCAGAACATTGTCATCGCCTTGGTGCGCCTCAAGTAGTTCCATGGCCTCATCAGCACTTAAATGCGGCATGCAAACTGGGCTACTCGGAGCTTTTGCAGGCTTTGCATCCATGGAGTCAACGACATCGTCTACAAGCGTGGCGACAATCAAACCAACAGCATCTTTCACCTCAGCACCGCTCGGTCGAGATGCTTCACCAGTATTGCTCTCTTTCAGTAAGAGACTATTAAGTTCGACACCTGCAGCCCACACCGACAAGTCTTCAGCATTCATCTTACCACCACCCTCGCTGCGATTATCAGTCATAGTTTTCTTTCCTTCTAAGATCTGTACAGCATCCATAACAATGTCCATCCTTTCCTGTGGCACTGACGACGCTGCAATAGTATTCCTTTCGCCAATATCCTTCACCTTGTTTACACACGTCTCATTTTTCAATTGAGCTTTACCATCTACCAACGACATGACTGCAATAGTCTCATCACTCGCACTATTGTTACCGGTATCCAACACTGTCTCCTTATCCTTGTATCCCGTCAATTGCTTCATATCCTCGTCAGTTACCGCTCCAAACTGCTCCACAGACTCACCAATTACCTCTACATCTTCCTCAATCTTATTCTCCAACAATTTATGACTCAGAGAAACTGAAATTTCCTTCATTACCACTGCTTCCATCTTCTTCTCATTAATTTCCTTCTCATGGCCTCCTGCTGGTAATTCGCTTCCCCCTAAAGCCGTAAAACTCTCACTACATAACTGCTTCTCTTCTTTATCATTGCCGTCATTACTGATCTCCGTAACTTTTTCCAATATTGCTATATTCTTGTTTTCCACCGTATCACGTTGACCCGCTTCTCCAGCCTTTTTGAAGTCATTTCTCAGTGAGTTCTGCGTGCATTTCGACGAAACTTGATTGGCCACATACGCAACATTCTCTTCATCCGAATAGCCGCCATTTGAATGTTGTTGTTGCTTTTCCGTCATCGCCATGTTCACATTCCTTGATGGCACTCAATTTCTTCCTGTCTTCGTTATTTGTTTTCTTATCCACCCACCACTCGCCAAAACAATCGTACCTAGTCGACTTCATCGATTTTAATTGGTGTAAATATAACAATTCATTTGATTTGCATAAAAACGTGTTTTTCTCTTTTAACCAATCAAATGATACCCATTTGTTGTTGTGCCCAATCACTGGCAGTGGTGCACTCAGTTATTGACTTTAACCGTAATTATGATCGTTCCTGTGCGCTGCTTTACGTGTGGCAAAGTGCTGGCCAACAAATGGGAGACATACTTGGGTCTGCTACGTGCTGACTACACGGAGCGTGATGCATTGGATGAGCTGTCACTTAAGCGTTACTGCTGTCGTCGGATGATGCTCACACACGTTGATCTTATTGAGAAGCTGCTGCATTACAATACGGGCGGTAGGAACTCTAAATGGACATTAAATAAAGCCATTTCTGTATTTTATAGCTGACCTAACCCTATTTTTATATTGCAATTAGCTATTGAACGAGGTGACGACTGAGCGCTAAAACAAACCGACTTTAACTAGGAGATTTAAAGAGCTTTATTGCTGCTATTTTGTGACAATATAAAAAAAGTCTTTTTTCACTTTTTAATGCACTCTATTCAGTCAATAACTCTCTCTATTCCTTCCTTTTGTGCTGTAAATTAGATAAATACAAGCTTTTCAATCAGATCCTGCTCCTGATTACAAGGAGCGTCACTTTTAATAAAGCCCCAATGACGCAATGTACAAAGTGCTCGTACAAAACGAGATTTGATTGCCGAGTCCATCATTGCATTGTTCTTCTTGTCTTTGTTCTTCTTGTTCTTCTTGACAGTTTTTGCTTCTTCATTCAATTCCAATGCAAAACTTTCATACCATTCGCAAAGACTTAATCTTGCACCCGCACTTTCTTGATAAAACAAAAACGCGAGACCCACATCATGTACCCATGATACTTGGATGGCTGTATCATTGTCTTCACCAATACCAGCATCTTGTAACACCTTTTGAAGATTATCATAGTATTTAAAACAAAGTCGCGCTTCCAGAACATTGACAGTTGTCAACAAAGTCCAATTTGTCACGAGTGCATCGGCAGGAGACACTGAACAAGGTACTGGATGCAATAACGCACTCACTAGACGATCTGTAAACACAGTCACGAGTTCATTTCGTAGCGCTGTCTCCATCTTTGGTGGTGTCTCTTCGGTTCTTGCATAAGCACAGAGCATTGCTAGCTCACATAAACTCGTTTCCAAGTCTTCTCCATCGTCTTCAGACGATCCGAACACGCGAAAAGAAGCCCGCCAATCCTCAATCATTCCAGAAACCAAAGCCCACCTGCAAAATTGTAGCCGTCGTAGTACTTCCATGAAGCGTGGTGCTTTCCCCAATCGGCCCTCAAGTGCTAGAGCCAAGTGCGTCACTGCTAGATCCTCCTGCTCATCATGTTTTGCTTCGTTGCTGCCATCAATGCGCACGTCAAGCCACGAGCAAGTAGAACGAAAGCAGTCCCAGCCCATTCGCCAGCGAGCTCGCCGGCGACGTTCATGAAGCATTGCCGTCTCCAACACAGTAATCCAATTGTCATCAGCAGCCATAACACCTGACGAGGAGGACATCACTCGTGACTCCAAGTCTCTCAGCTCGAAGGCACTGCATGAAGCAAGCCATAACGTAAGGGCTGAACTACACCCAGTAGGTTTTCCTTGTGCTTCCCGGGTTAGATTCCGACGATGACGCTTAATCCAACTAGAGACACGGTATGGCAATGATGCAACATCACTGGCTACCAAGACCGGAGATTCGCCTGACGATGGTAAGTCATCTACAGCAAGTGCGAGAAAACTCCACGGACAGCGTCTAAAGTGTGTAAACAGTAAGAAACGCAGCGCATGCAAAAGACGTGGCACGCTTGGTACACGATGGTGTCGGCGCGCAATAGCTCGGACCACTTCACCGCTAAATGAAAGCGGTAGTCTCGCTTTTACTACTAACGACTCAAGTATATCGTCAAAGCACTTTCGTGAGTCAACAAGAGAGAAGAATTGTAGTTCCAACCGATTGGTTACCGCCAAATCTAAACGTCGTAGCGCTGGTGAGGTCGCCGAGGCCACTCCAATTACGAATCCCAACATGCCGCTATATTTTTCACCCGCGTGATGAGTTTCTTGCTGCTGTCGTACGAAATGTATCCAAATCTCTAAGAAATCGCCAAATACCTGTTGTGAAAACGACTCGAGTTGCTCAATACACAGCAATAGAAATGGCTGAGAAGTACAAGATGTCTGCGGTGACGTTGGAATCTGTGATTTACCATCGCTCTCAAGGGAGTAGTAGTTCTCGTGCTTACACATTTTCTGCTTTACAATTCTTCGTCGATCATTGACCGCAATTCGGTCAATTGTGCATTCCTCCAGAAACGACACGTACTGAAGGTACACACGTTGGAGCATTATCGCTAACGCCATCTCCGTGATGCCAATATAAGAGGTAGTTGGATTATTTGAATCAGGTGCAGCATTCAGCAGCTTGGGTGCTGTATCTTGAGCCGTCACAATCTTATGCTGCAGCCAATCTACCGCTTCATCAAAGCATGCAATGCTCCGGGAGACGCTTTCTTCATCTTTTTTTGTAATTTCTTCACCCAAGTCAGCGCTTCCTGAAGTCGATCGTGCACTAGCTCACCAAGCATAGCAACCCACTCACAGCATGTGTTGCCACAGGTAGGCGACACAAGCTCATCAATATCACGTTCAATTGTCGACAACAGCTTCGATATTGTCCACCGCCCATAGGCCGCTGGCGCAAGTCGTCGTCGTTTACTCTTCCCTCTCCTTGACGACCCAAAATCAGTGTCATCATCTCCACTATCCTCGGATTCCGAAATCGAGTCGTAGCATATATCGTCCATCTGTTTGTTCTTTTCATCCTGTACATTACCATCGAACAGTCCACCGGCAAATCCTGCTGTCTTGACTCGCTCGTGTCGTGTCAGCCGTCGACCGCTGTTTTCTACAGCTACTGGTGGCATATCCAACGGCAACAGATCAAAATTTTCTACCAGTTCTTCAAGCCAATGCTCTTCCTTGTGTTTCACCGCACATAATTTCTCCAACCTTGCCGTCAACCACTCAATAAACCGTCGAGCACTTGTCACATCACGAGGCACAACAAGACACAACGGGAATGTCCGTCGTAGCTTTTGCATTAAAGGTCCCACCCATAAATTGCTTGACGTTGCATCAGTTCCAGTAATTATAGCAGCTGTTGGTATTGCATGAAACTCTGGAAATAACACGGGAGCATTGTAATCACGTCCTCGTCGACTTGATAATAAACTTGTCGTTGAGATTTGAGCTACTGGTGTTCCTGACTCCATTTTTCTTGGACAATATTTTGCAAAAAACCTCAATACTTGACTATAGCTCGTATTATTATTTCTACGTAAAAACTCTTCAATTAATTGACGAATTTTTGCATACGAATAATGATAAGCAAGTTCTTGAGATACTTTATAAGCTTCAGTATCGGATTGATATTGCGCCTCTGAGAATGTTGATGAGTTTGTTGGAAAGGTAAATGGATACTCTACTTGATTATTGAGACGAGAAGATGTAAAAGTAGCAGCTGATCGATTACGAGGGTATTGTATCGACACACCCGTAGAGAATGATGCCATTTTCTTTTTGGTAAAAGATAATATGAAGAGTTTTTTTGTAATATCAACCAATCATAAACGTAGCTGAGATCTAATCTTTAAAGTCGACCTTGACTAACCTTTTAGGATCAGTTTTACGATAGCAATTTATTTAATCTCGTGTTGGTATAATAAAATAAAGATATGCTAATAATGATCACAAGTTTCAGGACGAAAATGTTCTATATGATAAGTAAGAGAACAAGGTGGAAGGAGCAAAATTGTTCAAGAAAGAATTATCCCATGAGATTATCAAGCTAGGCGAAACTACGTTCAACTCAAAGATGCATCCGAAGTTGACGTAGTATTTCTACTACAGCCTTCAACCAGCAGCTGCCAGCACTTTCAAATGAAAGACGCTTAGTTGCGGTGGTGGTGGTGCTGCTCACGAGCCTTATCCTGACAAATCACAAGAAAATTACGTCAACACAAACGCTCAACCTCAAAACCGTCCAAAGTATTGAAGCGACAGTGAGGGAGCCAATGATTGGAGAGCAGTGGACTGCAGTGCACTTATTACACATGTGCTAGCCAGCATGAATACCTCTTGTTGCACAGCTGCAGCTCAAGAAAGAGCTGCATCTTCTGCCAACTGCAATGGGTCCACCGCTCCGACCATACATGTATGGTCATCATCGGCTCCAGCATTGTCTCTTACTATAAAATGGCAATAATAACATTGCTCATCGTACCTGAGGCACGTGCACACCAGCCAACTTAAGGTCCAAGTGGACCAACAAGTCCTTCGTGTCGTTGTCAATCTCGATGTTTTCCGTGTCAATGGCCGATACTTCCGGCACAAAGTCCATACGACGTTCACGCTCTTCCTCCTGCAACTTAAGCGAGATACCACGCACTTGGCCGTGCTGGATGCGCTTCATGAGGTGTGTAATATACCCGGCAATCTTGTTGCGCATGCGCTTGGACGGAATAATTGCAACTTCATCACACACACGTTTGTTTGTGTCAAAGTCAAGAGTAAGACGCGAGTAGTACTTTTCAATGATCTTGACGGCTGAGCCCTTCACAGTCTTGGTACGAACACCCATTGCTACAGATTAAGGATATCTCTCGTGGATAATTGTTTTCAGATAATGAACAGCTTATTATAACGGAGCAGATCTGCCAACCACCCATTTAATTATTGTAAAAGAATATTAGGGTAAATGTTACATATAGCTTCTTGCATCATACTAATACGTAGCTGCGGGAAAAGTACTCCGTTTGTGAGGTGGATCACATGAAGGACAAAGAGCGTATTTAGATCGCAAAGTTAAAAGACTGATACTAATGAATGAGTATCGGCTATATGAAGCACTTTCATGTGCTCAAAGCTTAAAATTGATGTACGCAATTACGTTGACCCTATTCCTACGAAAGTGCCACTTTAAACTCAGCAAACATAGCACTACTCATCTGCGTCGTCAACTGTGACCAGTTCATATTCAATAGCAGACATATTGTTCTCCGTATTGATACTCGGTGGTGGTGGTGGTGTAGATGCTACACCATCTGGATGCACCGACATCTTGCCCCACTGCGTCACATTCAGCCGCATGAAACCATTAAAGATATCGGCATTAGTATTGCGCAATACTAGCACAAGTCCTTCCTTTAGAACGTCAATCTGGTCTGCAACCATAATGCACATTAGTCATTATCTATCTATCTATCTATCTATCTATCTATCTAATCATCAAGTTGACTAAAAATACGCACCGTTTCGTGCAGTAAAAGTAACGCAGCCCGTCTCATCGGCCAACACTGCCTCAGCAATACGTGAGACAGCACCGTCGTAGCGTTTCTTTTCGACTACTGGTGCAACTGAAACTACTTGCAGCACGAGATTATGACCTTGTGAACCTGGTGTCAAATCCTGTACCTTTACATCTATAATTGGACGATACATGGCAAAGAAAAATACATTAGACGCAATGTAACAACAATGACAACAATGACACTAGCGTACAGGTGGCACGTCGGAGCTTGTTTCGGGGGCCTTCGCTTGTTGTAGCCATTCGTATTGTTAAATGAGCTTGTCAACCAACGGCTAAAGATCGAACACATTAACGGCTGCTGATTCGACGAAATTCGACCCATCAGATTTATCGCCAATAGTGGAGCTAGAAAAAGGTAAACTTCAACAAGACTCAACTGGAATGAACACAATGATAACGTTCGTGTATGTGGAATGTACCGTAAACTGCAGCCAGTCAAAGACGAACCACAGCCAATAAAAACAAATACAAATGGACAAACCCCAACCGATTACGATGACCGGATACACACGCATAGCAGCAGCATTGAACCCTAAATCGATGCAGCTTCCGGCTCGTCATCACGGCATCGAGCCACCGTAGTCTCCATTAATGCAGTCTTTCCCTCCTGATCGAAACAGATTAGGTCATCGCGCGTTACTGCGTCTTTTTCAGCCTTGATTTCCGGACTCTCGTCGCTTTGTTCCTGCACTTCGTCTCCAGTGCCAACCTGTGCAAATGACAATATAGTGGACACCTCCTCATCTTCTTCACCATCCTCTTCGTCATCTTCCATCTCACTGACGCCGTACATAAAGTCAAAATCGACCTCATTCGACTCACGTCTGAGCTGAATAATAGCATTCACCTCGGCTTCCACCGACGCTATCACCGGATCCTCGCATCCCGCATTATTCAGAATAATCTCACGCTCTTGCGGCTCCAAATAGCCCTCCTCCATGTACCTTTGCCGCCCAACACGCCTAGAAACATTTCATAAATGATCATCAACATCAGAACACGGCATTTGTATATGCATTCCATGGTACAAAACGACTACGTACTCGTCCTTTCGTTCCATCTCAAACGAATCCAGTCGCCGCCGGGACCGCGATCGCTCATTCAGTGACAAGCCCACAGGCACACCACCTGACGTGATACTCGTAGTGTAAACAGTCGGCTCAAATTCTACAATGTCTGCGCACTCAAAAAACACGCGCCTCCGCTTCTTCATGGGCCGCTGTTCCAGTATAGCAACAACGTTCTCGTTAGAGACACCATTGGCAATTCCCTCGACGTTCTCGTATTGCTCTTCCTCTGGCTCCACGTCATTGTCATGCTCCTGCTCGAGTTCTATATCCACTAAAGCGCTCGTAGAACTGTCAGTGTCTCCAACCGCTGTCTCCTTTGTCGTGTCAAGAGCTACACTCATGTGCACGCTCTTGTTATTCGTTGGCATCGTAGGAGGTGAGTTTGCAGGCCCAGAAGGTGGAGAAAGAATGACAGTGGTCATTATGGAACTAGACAATCGAAAAAGCGTTATCAAGAGTCCCCGTGACAAAGAAGGAGATCACTACAGCTGATGGAAGTACAGACGAGATGTTCCTGGCGGCTTTGGAGACAGAGTGAGCGGCTAGTTAGTACCTTAGAATATAATATAGAGAGAGGGTAGGTGTCCCAGTTCCCACTTGTTGGTCATTCTTTTTTGTGGACTGTCGCTACTCGGAGCTGAAACGGTAATTTGTACACCTACTACAGAACCATTTGGTGGTCCGTCCTGTCCAGCTATAAATTGCACTTTAATTCCGAAGCCGTCCAATGCTGCTGCCACAAGCTCTGAGCCTGCAACCAATTGATGCGCCCTGACTCAAAACCTGGTAAATAGACTCATGCTGTTTGATAGATGCTGCTACGTGCGGCGTATCTCTGTCAGGACAGACGGGGCGAATAACATCAACATTTGTTGCTACTGTCGTTACTGTCGCGCTTGCACCCATGAAGATCCTTGCAATCGCTAGCGACTGTTCTTAGCCAGTCATGGACATCTCCACAAGATGTATTATGTACATTACTGTTAAACGGCGTGAACAGCTTTTATCCACAGACCTGCACGACCGCTCCTACCGAGATGCAATATGTTTGCGCAAACTCTGACCCGAGATAGATACGCACGCGACGATTTGCACGCTGTCGCTGTTGATTCTGCCGTTGGTCAAGCAAAGGCTCCGAATGACGACTTCTGTTCCATGTCTCTGCCTATCGCCCAAATATTTTACTTAGTTTCAAATATTTTGAATTGACCACGAACGATGTCGTGACAGCAAGGTGCTTGTACGATTTGTTAGTGAACTTCTTGTGCTGCGGTGCTTCAATCGCTAAATGACTTTGCAATGAGATAGGGACGTAAGAAAAGCTGTTTCGGCGTAAGAAAACGACACAGATCCGACCTCTGGCACAGTCAGTTGGCAAAGCGCGACTACGGCAGCCTTTCGCGTCAATTGAATCCACTGACAGTGGCTGCGCGATTGCGAGCTCTGTTTGTGCTTCTGCTATAGACGAGGAGACCATGTGCAGAGTCGAGAATCAGTGTAGTAGACGCTGCCTCTCTAAGACATGTAAACCGTATTTATGTGTGGCACAGGAGTCGCCGCGGCTCTGTCGGGGGCAGACTTATGGCGCTCGATTGTCCTTCTGATACCGACAGCTTGCCTTCTAGTTTTACAGAAAGGCGTTTTTGTCAAATGTTGAAACGATCGGTTTAGCTCTCATTAGCATAGGACACTCGGAATGTCAGATAAGTGTTCACAATAGCCTGGACATTTTAAGAACACTCGTTCGGATTAACTCGGAAACATCTACATAAACTATAGCATCCGTGTCGATTTACTTGAATTATCTATAATGTGCACACTCATTACAGCTGAGCAGCCTCGGATCTTTACCTGTCTGCTGAAAAGGTACCAACCTTGTGCAAAAGCAGCCCATCTCGAAGCTGTAACAGATCACAAACTACATCAGCCATAGACACTGCTGGGATCACATACCTCCTCCTGATAGAAGTACTTGAAGCAGAACATGCAGGTTGAAATGCAAGATACACTAAATCTAGCTCAAATGCTGCTATCGCTTGTAACCGAAGCCGATCAAAACCATGCGTGCATATAACGCAGTCACTCTACCGCCATCAGAGTCGGTGGTGTAGCGCAAAAGCCGCGACTTCTGAACTCGTCTTCCACAAATCATGCAGCTGGGCTCCATTTAAATCGGTGGATTGACGAAGTGCTCGCTCTTATGACTTGATTACGGCGACACGGCGAGCACGCAGGCCGATTGAGATGTCGCGCTCACGCATGTCTCTCAGCAACGCTCTTTTTAAAACCGATCTTGACAAACGAACTGCGCACCGTCTGAATAGACTTTGCGCTGAAGGAACCCTCCTCGAGGATGGAACCTTCCGGATCCTAATTTTCTCACCTCCGGATATTAGGTGGACTCATCGCCGAGCGTTGAAGCGTAAAAATACCTTGGTGAAAATACAATCGATCAAGGCAAAGCATGAATCTTTTACTCGTGCGTTTTCACGAAAATGAAACTGTGTCGGGTTTTGCATTTGCTGAAGCGATATTAAATGAAGAAGGAGCACTTTGAGATGAGGCATTTAGTCTGACGAGCAGTGAAACAACACACAGACAGATGAATCATCAATGTCGGCTAAGAGATGTGCGCCCGTCTGTCATGTAGAATTTCTTTTCAGCATTAATCGCATACATTCCGGATGGATACATTGACGTTAGACTTTTAGAAAAACGCGCTCTATGGCAGTAGGTACCTGCAGCAACTTCGGCTTCACTCATCATACATGAGAGCTTGCTTATCAGCACTACCATCTGGGCTCCACTCGTATCAAGACGCTGTTGGCGTCCACCGTTTTTTTATTTAATATGTGCGTTTTCTGCACGTATACAAACTACTACACGTCAGAAAACGGCTGACGTTCGTACTGCATGTAAGACCTCGGACTAGGGCTAGGGTGCGAAGCGAGAGGGGCTCCCCCTTTATGCGCAACTCGTGTCGCCAAACTGCAACTCGATCGCACAACCACTTTCTCCCTTGTGATCACTTTATTCTGCAATTTGCCTTAAAGATCGCAAGCTTTTTACTGCAAGTGGTGTTATTAAATAATTGAATCCTATTCAACACTCTACACCTAAACACAACAAAACATGGCAGAATACTCGGAAATAGCACATAAGCACTTGGCTAATGCCCCCGGTAGTATCGTAAATGACATTTATCCGGCCCATTCGCCACAAATGCACATGCAAGCACCTTCGCAATACCCGGTACGCTTCCAGGAACTACCTCGGCTGCACGTGCCACCCTTTGCACTCACGCAGCAGTCTATCCCTACATGGAAGATGTCACAGCAGTCTGTACCACGGATGAGTGTGTCAAATTTGCTGTCTGGGAGCTTCCGGAGTCGTGCTATACCGCAACCACAAGCTCCTAGATTAACAGTAACACCGCCATCACCTCCCACTCTACGTCGTCTGCCCAGTTTTGCTGATATCCTCGCACGTACTCACCTTCTTCACTTCATGGGTCGATCAAGTGTACCCACTGAGACTCCTACTTCTACGATAGAGGCATCTATGGAAGATGATATGCAGATGCAACCCGAGAAAATGATAACGCCAATGTATCAGCAGCAGATATCAATGCAGCTAATGGAAAACAGCTACACGACATTTGCCCCTCCTTGTCTGGACACGAACTTGAACATGGACACGTCAATCAACATGACTGATGAGCTACAGAGTCCTATGGGTGTAACATCACCTGTGAGTCAGACTAGTGAGACGAACAAACGGCGTGAACGTTGGACAGAGGAAGAACATGCTTGCTTCATGGAAGGCCTGAATCGTTATGGTCGTAAATGGAAGAAGATTCAAACGTTTGTCAAGACCAAGACAGCTGTGCAAGTCCGCACTCATGCCTATGGATACTTTGCAAAATTACTTCGGAATATGCCAGAGGACGATGCCATTTGGGACCTCGCTGAAGAGATGAGTTCTCTACCTGGTGCTGTACTGAAAGGCCCGGGGAATAGCAAACGCCGCAACGAGCCCAAGACGGACGAGGCCGGTATGGAAGTGCTCCGTCGCTTTGTGTTCTCTAAGAAAAAGTCTGAGGACAAGAAGCAATTGCTTGCGTCCAATGAGACGACTGAGGACCATGAGAACGTGGAAATGGCTGACTCGACTCCGTCTAACGCCAACTCACAGGCACCCACAGGATTGTGGAGCTCTACGCAGCTATGGAAAGCCGATGACTCGGATGCGATGCTGGAGATTAAACGTCAGCGCTTGAACTAGTACATCAGAAGAATAGGAAACAAAGAGAGAATAGTGTATAAAATGATACACACTCGGCAAAACGCTATTTATTGAAGCAAGTATTTGGTCACGTCGCTGAGAGGAAGACGGATATACTCATGTTGGCGCCGTCGATGGACAACTCATCAGTTTTTCCGAATTACCCAGAATGCCAAGGATCGTTGTTTACGAGGGAGACAAGCTTGACAGGTTGAACATCCATGATATGTACAATATGCCAAAACTCACTCGCGTGTAACATGGAGCTAACACTCTGAGCCAGACCTCATAAGAGTCTTCATGACAAATGCAGACATAAGATACAAACTTGAATAAGAAATTGAGTTTGGACTTGTCCATCTTATTCAACCTTACATGTCTTGGGATACAGACTTTCTTCCATTTCGTTATCTTTATCAAGATAAAGCAACATTTTCAATATTAAACGCAACGCTTTTGGGATCATTTCGGATGGGGCTTACCGTACAAAGCTATTTCATCTTTCTTAGGCTACCGTGAATTTTCAACGCTTAATTGTATGTTTAGTCCCGTTGCTCCTCTACTTGGTACTAAACACCGTCTCATCTACAAAGTCTTTCCTCAAAGCGATGGTGCAAGAAACATATCGTTTTGGAAACCACACTAATCAATATGGTTGTTGTAGATGAGAATGATACCTATGGCACTCTCCCCAACCGGTCAAGTCAAGTGTTCTCCTCAGTGGCAGATGATTCCAGTATCCTCCTAGCTCGCACTTTTAGTAAGATCGGTAAGTTACGTATTTCAAATCGACAGCCGTCTTAGTCTTTGTCACATTTAAAGTAGAATATTCGACCTCGTCGAAGCCGCTGTCTACGTTAGGGAATACAATTTCGGGTAGCAATACCAACATGATACAATCCAACGATTACCAATTCATCGCCTGCAAGAGCACTCCAGCGCTCGAGTGGCAATCGACGCATTGAATGAAGCGACATGTAGACGCGTAATGTGCTGTAGGATGCGTCGTTTGAGCTACTCGTACAGCACGAGGTGTGATCATACATACGAGCTTGGTCTGTATTGAGCCATAACCTCCTTTTGTGTCCAGGTTGGCCATTAGCTCAAATATCTGATCGTCTTCGTGCCCAGTGTAAATCTGTTTCATCTGCTTAATTGACATTAAACATATCAGCCTGATGCGCTTTTCGTTGCTACAAATTAAAATTATGTGCTACACAACAAAATGCTCGTGATAATTCGTTAAAACCGCTTTATCAAGACGTTTAAGCGCTACAACGACCATTTGAACGTAGTAAATTGGTGCAACATTCATCTGTTGCGACCTTCCCCTTTCAAACAGCGATATGAACGCCACTATGGTACTTTTTTGTCGACTGCATTATTCTCTAGCTGCAAGTACAGCACTGTCACTACATTCAACTTCTTATCGAATTACTCCTTTGTGTAACAGCCAGGATACGAAGCTGAGGAAACCATCAAGCGTATTAAAAGCCACAAGGGCGTGCAGGCCGTGCTTATTGTGAACAAGGAGGGAGTGCCCATTTACTCGACCACGAGTGATGAGGCATTTGCCATAGATCATGCGGCGCTCGTCTCCCAGTTGACTACTAAGGCAAAGTCTACGATTCAGACTCTCGATCCAACTGACGATATGACGTTTTTACGCATTCGTTCCAAGAAGCACGAGATTATGATTGCACCGGGTGCGTGAGATTGATTGTTACTTGTTTTTTGTAAAAAGGGACCTTGAAGGTCACTTACTCTTGTTCTTGCTATTTATTGTTGCTATCATTAGACAAGGAATACGCACTCATTGTGATCAAGACTATAAATCCACACGCAGAGCTCGATAGCAACAATGAAGCACCAAGTCTATACTAGAATAGTATATCGATACGTATTCAACCAGGTCTCTTACTGACCTTTTACGAATTGGTGTAACCGTACACAATATGTTACTAAAAATAGTCTTATCTAGTCCATCTATACCTCTTATATTTTATACTCCACAAACATGCCGCCTCGTCATTCGCTCAAGAAGCACGACACGGCCGCCGAGTCGCGTACGCTCAAATCGCGTCGCCAACGCACGACGACGCAAATTTGCAAAGAAAAACGTCATGCTATTGTACAGACTAAACGGCGTCTTATGTCAGTGGATCAGACGCCACTTACAGGCCGTAGTATCATTGAATTGGTTCAGATCCTTGGGGACACGACAAATGCATCAGCTCGTACGAATCAGACGCGGTTTGAGACACTTCAAGAGATTCGCGTCCTATTGGCAGAACATGAGAAGGATTACGAGCACATTGAGCAGATCATCGAGTCAGGGGTGCGTCCGATAAAAAGTGTCCCTTTGTTTGTGGGGCATTTCATACGGGACATGCATGATGGATACATTTTGACATGGGACTAATTTTTCATCAAACGTTTTTTATTATTTATGACAGATTGTACCGGTTCTGGTGATGCTGTTAAATTCAGCATCACCACTGGAGAGTACTACCCGAATGGGTGGAGAAGTTTATCGTGAAATAATGTGGTGTCTTATCAACATTACTAGTGGTCAATATGAGCACACAAAATTAGTATTACCGGCAGTACCTCGACTACTGGAATTTTTACAAGGTTCGAATCATTCTTTAACTGAACATGCTGCTTGGGTGCTGGGTAACATTGCTGCAGACTGCAACGAGTTTCGTCAACAGCTTATTGCCAATGGAACGGTGATGCCATTGGTGAAGCTATTGACCAATCCTAGTATGGAAGAACTGGCTAAAATTAGTGCATGGGCGCTGTCAAATTTGGCTCGTGGATTCGAGATTTCAGCCAAACCTTTTGCTGATGCTGGTATCATTCCAGTCGTGGTAAAGGGATTGTCACAGCCTAGCTCAGGTGCTACTTTTAGTGAAGAGATTGTAGTGGAAATTGCGTGGTTGTTGAGTTTCTTGACGGCACGTGAAGAAGCTTTTTTGAAGCTGATGTTGGAGAATGGACTGGTGGAATTGCTATTGCCGTATTTTTCGACAACAAACGAGCGATTGCTGACCCCGCTTCTGCGCGTGTTTGGCAATATTTGCTGCGGTTCACCGGATCAAGATCACATGGACGCATGGCGAATGCCATATGTCCGTCGTTTATTGTGTACGGATTCGGTAGTTTTGCCAAAGTTGCGTGATTTCTTGCAGCCGCAGCAAGCAGGAGTGCAAGAGAAATCTTTAGCGGCTGAAGCAGCATGGGTAGTTTCCAACTTGGCGGCAACGGAAGCGACTATCGTGGAACTGCTGATTCAGGCACAATTACTTCCGCTGCTAGCCCATCAGTTTAAGGATGGCAGCTACGAGGTACGTCGCGAAGTGGCATTTGCACTCACCAACATTGCATTGACCAGCGCAGGACACATGGAGGATGTGCTGGCACTGGATGTTGTAAAAGGTTTTTTGCATCTGCTCACCGTCGCTGATGTTGCCATCGTCGGTAATTCACTTCGCTTCATTGAAAACGTGTTGCGTGTGGCGCCTCAAGGAGTGTCACTTGTTGAGGCGAACGAGGGTATTGACGCACTAGAGACCGTACAGTTCGAATGTGGCGAGGAGCATTTATCCGAGTGGGCAGCCGCGCTAGCGAACGAGTTCTATGGAGAAAATTACGGCATCAACTCGCCGCCGAGTACTGCTCAAGTACCTACTGGTTTCGGTTTCCCATCAGAAGACCTCGGTCAATTGTCATTTGGTGCTGGTCAGCAAGCACCAGCTTCAGGTCCTGGAGGTCGAGGTCGTGGAGCACATATGACCACACCTGCGTGGAAGAAGTAAGAAACAACCGGATCATTGGAGACAGGAAAATGGTGTCACTTGCATTCTTCTGGCTCGAGAATGCTGCTACGTTTTAGTGCTGGCAGTATCTCCTGAATCGTGCAGTACACGACTGCAAGTAAAGGACCTTTACTTGATATGATACGTCTGTACTCTTGCTGTTCGCTAGACAGCATTATGACATTGACATTGATGAATGAATGAATATGAAGCAGCAGTAGCGATGCGCTCGAGTACCAGTATTTGAATTTGCCCGATATCCTTCATTTTAGAGCTTATCATAGCGGGTAAAACTGTCTACTTTCGGATGGTTCTATGCTACATTGTAGAAGAAGAAAGAGAAACTTCTACGAATCATTATTATTGACGATCCATATCATCTGGATGTTAGAGAAATCTGTGGGCAAGAGTACGCAAGCTAAGGGCACTTTCGAATTCATGTCATAGCATGTCAGATACGTTGACATCATCGATGCCATCAGGAGAATTCGTTCCGCTTTATACCCACCAGATGGCGAGTAAAATGCCGATTGCGGTTTCATTTATTATACGCCAGATGCAAGAAAAACTCTATCGTGTCGCAATAGGTACATACTAGTGAAGGACTGGAAGCTCAACAACATCTTATCCATGGCACTGATAAGTTCTTTAACCAAATTTTCTACTGTTAGCTATCGATTAAAAATTACTTTGATTTTGTATATGGCGACGCAACTCGACGACGTCTGGCGATACTACGATGACTGCTGCCACAATTCGAAGTCTCGTTGAAAATTTCGTGACGTCACTACCATCACGACCGCCACTCGCTCCAGTTAATGACGAGTTTCCTGTGTTAATAGCGGTCCAGTGGTTGGACCAAACAATTGGCTACCGACTCTAGATCGTCATCTCGTGACTGACGCATCAGTGTCGAATCGTCAATTCGAGGGTCAGGCACATTGGCAGGCAGTCAGTCGGTGCTGTATCGTTAAAGCTTTCATTGGTGCTGTTAGTTTAATATCCTTGTCCTTTCGATGGAACTTCCTAATGCTTATCATGACAAATTGCATTAAAAAGCTTTACTCTTTCGCGCATACTAACTACACTTACATTAAGCACTCACTTGGCACTCAAACTCGACTCGCACGCCAGTCGGTCAATCAAGTTGATGAGGTAGACAAACGCTTGCAACATTGCAACCTTGCGATCGTCAAGCACCTCTTTTTAAAACTCACAATTGCAAATTGTCCTTCGTCTCGCCGTCCGTTACCGATTCCTCCGCGGATGTCTCGGCCTCGTCGTGAACTGCATCGGCGTTCTGTCGCATCGACGGTACAATGCGTTGCGACGTCTCCATCGGAATGAGACTGAATTCGACGTTTGTCGCTTTCCCATTGTCGTCAGTAATAACTGCAGCCACTAGATTGACAGTCACTGTCTTTCCTCCTGCAACGGGCGTCTTCACGACTGCACTGATCGACTGATTAGTGTCACAAACCTTCTTCATGATGTTGTATAACGTGCTTTGGTCTGCACACAAGTACGGCTGGAGTGTCTTTTGTTTCTTTAGCACGAGTTCCGACTGACCCGTGTGTTTCATAAAGGCATGATTGAACGTGATAGTCTGCATGTTCATGTCCACGACAACTCGAGGTGTCGTCGTCTTCTGAAACACTCCACGGACGACTTTCTCCGTGCCTTGAGACGTCTTTTGCGCTTGTGAACGATAGACTTCCGCCTGTTTTTCGGCCCGTTCGGCCTTTTGCTTAGCAATTAACAAATTGCTACGCAGCATCTCAATATAATGAGCAGCATTGTCCAATATCGACTGTTTGTTCTTCTTCGTCTGTACTCCAGCCTCATCGAGCATGTCCTTGAGTTGATTGATACGGTCATTGAGCTTGAACATCCGCTTCTTTTCTTTCAAATTAAGGTCTTCCCGTGAACGTTTAGAGTTACTGCGGACACTCGAAGGCGTAATCACGCTGCCTTTAGCATACTCATAGTCGGACGACACGTGCAACATTTGTGTACCCATTTGAGACGGTGGGTAGTAATGAGGTGTCCCTTGTACGTTCATCATGAGTGGCTCTGACTCGTATTTCGTACCCATGACATGTTGCGGCGTCATAGTCGAGTGTTGTGGTGTCATACCGTGTTGAGACGTACCATGATGAACCATGTGACTGAAGTCGCCTAGAATTGGCGGCTGCATAAAGAGCTTGGGACGTTCACCACTCTGTACGTGGTGTTGATTGTAATTCATAGTGTTTGCAGGTGAAGGGACGTATCCATAGTCGGAAGAAGGTGCGAGCATTATGATGAAGAAATACTTGGACTAGATGGAATTCAAAGACGATAGGATGTTAACTAACGAACAGGCTGGTACTGTACTGTACTGTACTTGGGACTACTTAAGCAGCTGGACGCTAAATGGGAAATGGGAATGCACACGTCGAGGACGGTTACCAGCTGGTGGATGGACGATCCATCGTGAGAAGTATAAACGGGGCAGTAGTGCACGAAGCACGGTTTTTACGGGTACATAGCCAGGTGTGGGTACACCATACCTAGCCCGGACTACGTACTGTACACCGTTTGACCCCGACTGATATCCTGAGATGTTTTTGACAAGCGTTGAAGTTCCTCTATAAGAGACAGCATCAGCATCAATGATGCTACTGCAAATATGTAATATCAAGAAATTTCCATCGCTTCCAAGAAATTTCCATCGCATCCAAGGAATTCCAAAAGACGCTTTGCATGGCACTTTATTTGTCTGTCAAGACTAGATACAGGTCAGCAACTTGAAAATCCTGTAATGTTCTCTGATGTCGGACAGTCGATCTATTTACTGCTTAGCAGCGTTGAGGCAGATCAGATGATCTATGGGTTATCTCTTGCAATAAAAAAGAATTAGGTTGTTTCATTGTAGACGTGAGAAAAAATGTTTTCCTGCGCGAACGTGGCTCCCGAGAACATTTCGCCACCACCGCTTGTGCGCTTCAACATTGACGAGATTGTGACGACATTGCTATTGACGCAAAGCAAAAGCAGTATTGACTGGAGACAGCAGTGGCACAAGTTCAAGAATGTATAACTTCGTACTACTGTTCCTAGGAGGAGATGCGGCATAATGTTGATGAATTTCTTTGACAGTATCCAACTCGAGGACTCATAAAAAAATCAGTGGCTGGCATATACATCGTATCGTAAACCCTTAATGACTTGTGGCAAGTTGCAACAGATCAGACAAACAGCGATATATCCACTGGGTAGCAGCTCTGTTAAGAGCCTTCGTCTTGGATCCTTCAGTTCGATGATCATGGAACCGCTTAGCTATTTTTAAATGTCGGTGCTACAGCCGCGAAAGCTCGCTCATCCATGATAACCATTTATATTGTAGAAAGACTAGTCGGCTACTAACGTAGTGAGGACATTGCACGCTTGCTTGTTTGTCGTGAAGAAGCATCATGGATGAGCCGTATGAGAGAGCCGAATGTGCAATTGTTGATGGGTAAGAAGCATATATTGAGGTGGATTTGTTTTGCTTACGTCGATTGCAAGGAGCAAGCAGGTGATCTTGATCCAGTTTCAGATCGTCTTTACGTCGGCGTTGCTATAGTTGCTACAAGGTTCATTTGTGGTTTCGAATGAACCGCTTCATACCACCAATAGTAAACCACTAGGACTCATCTCCGTACGAATGTAAAAGACCGTGGTAGACTCTATCAAGTACCTCTATCGACATGATCGGGGACAGCGTTTAAGTAGTCAATGATGTTTGCGCCAATACGTCATGGTTTGGTTTTGCTCCGCTGAAATAGTGTACGAAACGGGTTCTGATCGTCTCGACATCTACAAGCATACACGCTTACTTAAATAACTAGGCAGGCAACTTCAATGCCGACCACTTGGTTGACTACTGTAGTTCCTGCACTCGGTTCGGTCTGCAAAGTAAGGAAGAATTATTTGAAAACCAGGGCGCCGTGGAACCGACTAAGCATTGTACGAGGGTAGGCACCATTCGACGCGAGGATATCCGATACTATGGTTACTCAGCTGTCTATGGTAGACGTGAGGCTGTCCTCCCTGCCCATGCTTTAGTTAGGAAGAATGCGTATATCGAGTCAAGAAAGAAACGAAATCATGACAAGCTTTATAAGAACGGCACGAGGTTCTCGAAAGAACCACTGTTTTGTGCGATTGGTCATGACTGCATAAAGGGTCACTCGACATTATCAAAACGTGCTGGGTTTTACATGCACAGCCGATGTGCTCTAACCCTCCACGATGCATGCAATTCCCCCCCCCCCCCCCCCGAGACGGAGGAAATTGCATGCATTGTGACGCCGATGGGCTCGAAAGTTGACAAGTTTGTAGTTGGCTCAAAGTGTGATCTCTCTCGTATCGCAATACCGAGTTAAATATTTCTCATGTGCCACATCTGCACGCGTGCGCTGTCGCCGTGATATTCACCTTTTGGTAACGGTTCGTGGTCGGCATTGGCACATCAACGACGAATACAACGTGGTTCTTCAGCTCAAGATTTTGGATCAAGCTTAAGGGGCGTAAAGAGATGGCGGGTAGAGTCGGACATCATTGATATGTGCTATGGTCTTTTGGTGTTGGGTTGCTACAAGACAATTGCGAATGAACTGCAACCGCAGTGGAAGGTCGTTTTCAGCGAGTTCAAGTCACTTTGTTGAATTGGCGGAGACGTTAAGAATCTCGGACCTCATTGACGGTTCGAACAGACTGTTCATGTTTTATGATGCGCATACGCCAGCTCTACCAAGTCCTGAGCCAGGATACCAGCGTTGGTAGGCCCGGCGGTATATCGCGACAGGCCACCGAAGAACCCGGTGGCCCTCTAGGGTCGCGCTCCAGCAACTCGATGCAAGCATAAAGCAAGGCACCATGTGTGGCTGACGCTATTTGTCGATGCTCCCTCCTTGCGCCTGCTCGGAGCTAATAACCAAAAACCGGCGATGCTGCTGGGAAAGTGAAGTGTGACAGCCATGTAGATAGTTGCATTCCTGTCTACCCATATTCATGTTTGACATAATGTCGCGAAGACGTGCCAAATTTGTGTCCAAACGCGTTTAGAATCAAGTCCGCTAAAGCGTATGAAACCAGGAGATATAAAAAAATAGATTGGTACGAGGGGATGTTGTGAACCCGTCGACTGGCACAGGCCGCCAAGAAGTGTGGGTCAATTGACGGTGAAACTTGCTGCCCGATCCAGTGACCAATAAGTTTATCCCAAAGCGCTGCGGCGTTAGGACATTTTCAAAACAGATAACAAATGGTCTTCTCACTGCCGCTGCAGGCCAATGTCTTTCTAAAACTATCGTTTTCGTTTCGCGCAGCGTAATAACACAATTATTGTCTCGTCGCCACTCTGTACCTTGTCCAGACTTGATATGGTGTGAGGCCATTACTTGCGTCGGCATTTTCCGAGCGCTGCGCAGTGCCATTCATCTATTGTTGTCAATAAGAAAAGGCCACTCAACGAGAGCCAAAGGTGACAGGTTTTTCGTAGAACCGGAAAACTTGCTTGCCAAAGGCCTTCGTGATGAAATGACTCGACGTTGTGTCCGACACAGACCAAAGGGAACCAACAAAAGCTGCGAATGCGCCTCAAACTACCAGACCCCAATTCTAAATATCGCGACAAATAGTCTGTCGTTCAAACGACGAACCGTCAGTGAGCTCCGGTATAAATCCGTGGCAAAAGTCCATGGTCTCAATTGTCCATTTGGACTTCGCGCTGCACTCGACGAGTCCATAATATCTGGTCTGTAAGGTAGACGAGAGACGAGGTGATGCACCTTTTCTAGACGACCTAAAAGCGCACTTAGGCAATATGACAGGATTGCTAGTAATATATTCACGACGTTATGTGTTTTCGATAAAATCTATATAATAAAAGAATACTGTCTGTCCGTTTGATCCTTTTCCGGCATTCGGATTGGCTACTTTTGCATTATTCGCTACTTTTGGATTGGCTGATTATGCATTTTTGGCTCATAACGCATTGGCAGAGTTTGCCTTTTTGTATTGATAATTACATGTGCAGATTCCATAACAGAGTGTCCATATATCGTGCTTCTATCTATAACACTTATATACATAACGATGGCACATATAAATGTTCATATGCATCATTACACCTTGCATAATTTATAAACGAAACGATGGAACACATAAATGTTCATATGCATCATTACATATTTCTATATCAACACAGCTTTTTTAATAGTAAATGAGACACATGCCTTAGATTCGTAAGTCAAAACATGGGCTCCTTGCTCAACGAAGACACTACAAAGTGGAAAAAGTAAGCGTAGTGATCAGGTTGAACTGGATTTAGGTACAATTAGCGAATCGACTCACATGTAATGCATCATACTTATTCAATTACCTGAGTCAACCGGATATTCTACAGTACGAAACGACAAGTTTACATTCAAGTTATACCGATAATTTTACCTTAGTAAACCGGGTATATAGAATTAAAATGATGGGTACGAAGATCAAAAGATGACTTCGCTTACTGTGTCTGTGGGAACGACGGGTACACATTGATCTGCGAAACTACAGGTATACATTGGTCGACGTCGACGCGTACACATTGTCTTTTTTACACATTGAACATAAATATATTAATTTACCTTAGTAAACTGGATGTATAATAAGGTAAAATGGTGGGCCAATATGCTATCAGCGTAAAATTTGTGCACCTATTCGTCGGAACGGCAGATAAACGCCCTAGAATTCAGTTTAAAAAAGCTGCATACAGCTGAAAGTAGCATGAAAAAAGCTGATTAACACATTAACATTCGGTACTTTTCATTTAATTAATTTTATATTTATGGTCCGCTCGGAGATTTCCGTCGAAACGATGGGTGAGCACTCTTATATTAATGTAAGCAGATTTCCATCACTGTTGTATAAATTAGTAATATGTCTCAGGTCTAGCAATAATTGTCGTCGGACATCCATATATAGGAGTGGGTATCATGACTGAAATATGTATAGTAAAATCTATAAAATAAATCCGTCCATCATGCTATATCATGCTATATAATTAAACGGATGATGCTCGGAACAACAGGCACACATTCCACTTCGTACCCGTCACTATAAATTTATTATTAGCATAAAACCATGTCCGTCGGAACGACGAGTAAATACCCTAAATGGGACAATATACTATCAGCGTAGGGTTGGCCGTACGATTTGTCGGAGCGACGGGCACACCGTAGCAGTGTCGTCTTGCGCAGCGTTCCATCAAAACGACGTGATATAAACTCAATAAAGAAACTATTTTGGTAGACTTCGCATACTACATTCGCGGAAATGACGGGTAAACACCCTAGCAAATTGCTGCGTTTAAGATGCCTATGTATGCAACTTCGTACCGTTAAAATGACGGGTGATCAAATGAAAAAATTGACGAATAGACGAGTACACATTGCCTTCATATCCATCTTTACCCTGAGTCAATCGAATTATCTAACGTTAAATGATGGGTTTACAGGTGAAAAGGCAGACCATGTTCGTCGAAACGACGGGTGAACACCCTAACTTTTGATACGACAGGTACATATTGACCTTCAAACACATTACCTTTAACACTAATCAATTACCTAAGTCAATATACGATCAGTGCACCTACGATCAGCGTCAAATTTGTGCACCCATCGGTCGAAACGACGGGAACACCCCTAAGTATGCATTATCAGCATAAAACCATGTCCGTCGGAACGACGGTACACACCCTAGTACGTAAGAAATGATTTGCGACAGTCAGCAAATGCCTATCTCAGAATTATCATCTTTTTTACTTCAAGATGAAAATTTATGCACTATCGGGTATACACAAAAAAAGCGAACTTATACCATGATCCTGGAATTTAGAAGGTCGGCAATTCAATCTGGCTCTATAATACACAGCCCAGTTCATGATTATCAACACCTATAGGACGTGTCTAATCCCTTACCTTTTTTACCATCCAAATACTTTCAAGTATATTAATCAAACACTATTATTAATCTATAGCAATTGAGAGAGAGTTAACAAAGTTATCAACATATACAAGCTGTGGCTTTATCTGTAACATTATCGTGTATAACATGAAAAGGACGGCATCAGACTCGAATCTCCCCATCCGATGGACGGCGCGTTAGCGAATGGGAACTTAAAATCATTTGATACTGTACACAGGGCAGACCCACCACTAAATATTGCCTAGATAATGATCGGCTCAGATGATGTCCGCAGCCACTAAGTGTATAAACGCCCTTACGAAAGCCATGAAATTTATATTGCAAGTTGTATATCATCACAAAGTGCTCGTAGTGCTGCCCCAAAAGCTCATTCGTCATTCTTCCGCTTAGGTGAGACTCGATCATGGCACAATCCGCTTCGAAAACGTCAGCTTTCTTTACATTTGAAGATGCAAAAGCGACTTTTAATATTTTCTGCTGCGTCTGCGGTATCGGTTCCCTAGGAATGCCTTCAAATTACGCTCGTGCTGGGTGGTTCTATGCAACTAGTGCACTAGTCTTTATGGGTTTTGCAAATATCTACTCGGCAGTGGTCTTGTCCAAAGTGCTTTTACAAGCCCCATCTTCTGTACGAACGTACGGTGATTTGGGCGAATGGGTTGCTGGAAAAGGAGGACGTCTTCTCGTCGTGGTTTCACAAATGGGGGTCTGTTTGATGCTACCTTGTGCGTTCCTCGTCCTTGGAGGTTCTTTATTGGATGTACTATTCCCAGACTGTTTCAGCCAGTCCGTATGGATCATCTTCATGGCTCTCATGATTGTTCCCGTTGCTTTGATTCCTACCATGAAGGAGAGCACCGGTATGGCCATGGCTGGATGTCTCGGTACAATCGTTGCTGACTTTATTGGCATTGCGATCCTGGTCTATGAAATGCGTGGACACCCAAAGCCACCCACTGCCAGTGTAACCCCTCATCAAGTCATCACCACCTTTGGTAACCTCTCGCTTGCGTACGCTGCTGCTACGGTGGTTCCAGACATTCAACGGTTACATTCACAGCCAGAACGTATGCCCCGTGTCATTACTATCAGTCTCCTCATCTCTATAGTTTTTTTCATGAGCATTGCCATTACGGGATACCTTGTGGGAGGGTGTCAAATGTCTGGCAATCTCCTTTTTGTTGTTGTCAACGCTACGGACCCGTTCGCGTCAACGACTCTTGAATTTACTTCCTCCCGTGCTGCTGTTGTCATGGCCTTCCTCTTTATGCAGGTGCATCTCTCGGTTGCCTTCACGTGCTTCCTACATCCTGCTTTCTACATGTTCGAGCGTTTACTTCTTGGAATGCACGCACCTACGACTTCCGAAGAGACTGCCCCGCAGAACGACAAGGTTTCGTACCTCGTTGCGTCGACACCTGCTGAACTCGAGAGCAACAATGACCGTGTCAGCCGCCTTCAAGCCGCCAGTTGTATGTCGGTACCCAACACAATGATTGCCGATGAAGATCTCTCCGAGTACAAGGGCGGTGTCAACGTCATTCGCTACGTCGTACTGCGTTTGGTGTTGATTACCATTCTAGTCGTGCTTTCCATCCTGCTTCGCGACAGTTTCCTCAACCTCACTGATTTAACGGGTGCTACCGCTATTACAATGTCAAGTCTCATCGTGCCTTTCGTCTTCTACCTCAAGGTGTTCTGGACCAAGATCCCGGCGTGGGAAAAGCTGCTATGCATCGCTACATCTAGCATTTGCACTATCGCTGGTATCTACGTCGGTGTCGACGCTGGCAAGCACCTTTTCAATCCCGAGAAAGAAGGTGTCTTGTTCCCGTTTTGTCCAGCTGAATTTCAGGATGAACCGTACTACGTCAGGATGATGACAGACGCGAAATACTAAGGAATAGGCTCGAGCCTTGTAAATCTTCAAGACATTGTATGTTTGATCACGAACTCATTGGAACGTGTGTTGCTAAGGAATAAGTCGATGGTCTCTTACTTGCATCTACACCTTCGTAGCAAAGTTACAGGTCGTTGTCATGTGTTGTATAACTCTCTTGCTTCATATGTTGGTATCCTCCGCCGCTTGAACCAATTCACCCTGATACTAGCGTGGCACTGCCCGAATTCAGTCAACTTGCAGCAATACTGTCTTGTAAACCTTTTTATCCGGTTCATCATCAACGCTGCTTTTCCATCTTGCCAGCATCTTCACACACCTTACGGTCTTAGCAAGTACCAGACACCCTTGAGATTAGATCGTTTCAATGCACATCAACATCGCGGACCAAGTTCATGCCATTTGGTACCTAAGACATCATCGTGAATAGATAGCATCATTGGTCCGAGCTATTGCAAACCCGGATGAGGGTACATACGTGTCTATGACGAACTAATGGGTTATCGACACTGATAATGCTGTACTTTGTTTCACTCTTTCAAGTTACGCCGTGGACTTTCATTGTTTACATCCAAGTTTTCCACGAGAGATAAGCAACTCTGAATTCGGATGCTGATCTGGTCTACCGAAACCAGAAACTCACGTACATGAAGCGTCATTTCATTTTCGAATCTACCGAAACTGGTACATACACGTCTTCTTTTTGTTGCTACAACGGCAACGAAGGCACAATCTTCGCAGGTCCGGCATTACGTTACACAACAGTGGCGAGGCCGTTTGGCATACGTGATGAAGGTGCTGTCCAAACTTGGCGTAAAATGGACTTACACTTCCAAGATTCAGGTTGTGAGCTGTTCACTCATTTCAAAACTTGCTTTTGTAAAAGCGTGAAAGTCAAAATCACGAGTGCAAATGCGCTTGGTCCTGAGCGATGTTGCGTAATAAATGCAGGAATGGACAAGAGCACGCATTTTTTGCAGTACCAACACGAGCTTACTGCAAGACCATGTTCCAATGGGACTCCTAGCCATGGGTTAAAATTCGGTATCAACTCTCGAGCCGACTAATCCGACATCACCTTCTATTTGTAAGCTTCATGCTGCGTAGGCACAGCGGTTGTATGTCGGTCAATCATTTCTAGTGGCGGCGAGTGATGCCACAAGGCAAGCATCGATATACTTCAGCTCCATCAAATGGCTGCAATAGGAATACAACATTCGATCGACATGTCATCGACGCAATTCACTCGCAAAGTCCAGCGTTGTCCGATTACCATCCGTAATGAGAATACTGTCTGGTTACTCATTCCATCGGTAACTTTTAAGATGTCATTCACGAGATGAAAGTGGCGTTGTCCGATCATGCAAACTACCATGTGGCTTTTGTAGACTCAACTTGCTGTGGAAACGAATTCGTGACGGTAGACTCTAAGTGCTTTTTATCGTTCCCCTTCTTTCTTTTGCCGTCATCATCAGGAGCATGCCGTAAATGTCTGTGAGCCTGAAGAGAATCAAAAACCATATGTTCGTTGCAATCTTGGCACATTATAGTCCGTCGTGGGCACTTGGATAACTTGTGGCCGAGCAGTTGAGTAGCTTTTATCGGTGACTTACAGAACCCACAATCAACCATGTTTTGAGCCATAATATTTGCAACCACCGAAGGCTCCATTAACCCGCTCTTTTTCATACCAGAACGAAGTGCTTCCTTTGGGGCGTCGTGAAGAACCGAAGTATGAAAGGCAGGAAAACGAATGGCAACACACTCCGCGATCTGTCCGAGTTCATGGTAGACAGTAGCCATAGCATTGTTGTACTGCTTGAAATACAATGCACCGATACAATAGTACGCGTCTGGTATGTACCGCTCATCCGGAGAATTAGTGCTTACGTATTCTTCGTAAACAGACATTGCCGAATCCATCATACCTAATCCAACCATCGGTGCAGCCAGCCAGAAAAGCCAATCCGGTTTCTTTTCGATTGCCAAGGCGGCTTCCATTGCAATCATGGCGTCATTGTAGCGTTGGAGTGTCAAATACGCAGCGCCCAGATGAAAGTGAAAGGAAGCTTCTTTCGGATGCATTTTTACACACCGTTTCCAATAAGGGATAATGTCTTGGTCGCTCATAATCTCCCATTGGCCGATCACGTATGCCGCATCAACATCCCTCGGGTTGATCTGAAGACTTACGGCAGCTTCTTCAAGAATCTTCGGCAGCAGGCCTGTAGAGCTAGCCGTCGTGAAAACACCTTTTGGCCGTTCCCATATTAAATTGGCCTTCTTCATATCTCGTAGAGCACCTTTCAGGTCCCCAGAAACAAACAACTTAGCCGCAGTTCCAAGAAGCTTTTCTGACACCAGGTACTTGCAAGCCGTGATGCCTCCAGTCCGAGCGCGAGTTTGGATCTCGTCGTCAATAACAGCAGAAGGTGGTCGGTAGATGCCAACTAAGCCTATGAGATTGTAGAAAGATGCGGCCTTCGGTGTATTTGACCTCACCTTTGTCATCGGTATCTCTTCGCCGTCGCTATTAATATTACCACCGAATTTAGCACCGTCACCATTGCAACCTTCACCCAGATACGCGTCGTAAAATTCCTGGAAAACAGCCTTCTTGCGTTGTGCTACCGTGGGAGTACAAAACTTGTCTGCAGTTTCACCGCTGCCAACCGCGGTGACCTCACCAAAATCATGTCTCAACACTAAGTCTGTGAGTCGGTTTTGGCAGGCTGCAAGAGACCATTCTCGAGCCTGACTTTCGTCGCGTTTTCCACCAAAGCCACTTCCGAACAGTTGAGCAAGGTATTGCTGCGCTTCAGGCAATCCGTGCTGCGCCGCACGTGATGTCCACATTCGTGCTGCAAATGCATCAACAGGCGTTCCACTCCCCGTTGAGTAGGCAACCGCGACGTGGTACTGGCCTACAGGAAAGTCATGTTCTGCCGAACGCAAGAAGTAGTGGAACGCCTTTTCTAGATCAACGTCAACAACAGAAGCTGGTTTCCCGTCCCGATAGCAAACTCCTAGCTCATTTTCAGCTTCCGCGACACCTTGGTGTGGGAACACACGAATTCCAGGCGGCTTAATAAATGGTCGCAACTCAGCTGCTTTCTGGAAGCATTCTACCATCTTGAAAGGATTAGCTGTCAAGGGCATGCCTTTTCGAACGTTGCTGCTGTAAAGTACACCAAGACGAAACCAAGCCTCAGCAATGCCAGCTTCGCCAGCTTTACGAAGGTTTGTCATGCCCTCTTCGACCAGCTGGCCAAGCGGTAACTTTGATCTACCTGGTGTCCCAATGCTGTCAGTAACCTGAAGAAGTGCATTTGCAGCCATCGCCAGACTTTCCATGCCTTGCTGGTATAACCTCAGGCGCCGCGATCCACGGAAATGCGTCTCAATCCATTTCGCAGGCACTTCCTGGTATTTGATCATCGGCACTAATTCCATTTTGGGTGCTGCATTCTTCTTCTTGCGCTTGTTTTTTGTCTTCTTTGTCTTGTTGATCCTGTGTTTACTGGCCTTCGATGGTACCGGAACATCGTTCACCAAAGCAGCATTTGCTGCCTCGACCTTTGCTCGTTCCTCTAACTCAAGCCTCTTCTTTTCCTTTTCATGGTCTAATTTTTCCATTGCAATCATTGCTTCCGCAGTGCGTTTTCTACGAAGTAGTGTATCATCGGTCGGATCTAGCTCCAGTCCTGCCTCACAAATCTCCCTCGCCTCGTCATAGTCTTTCATCCCTAGCACTGCCTCCGACAGGAGCCTATAGTACTTGACATTCTCGTAGTGATCAGCATCCAAGGCATTTTCCGCGTCTTCACGTGCAAACTTGAACTTCTTCAGTCGTAGATAACACATGGCTCGATTACCATAGAGTACCGCCTGATTCGGCGCGACATCCAATCCTTGCGAATAGGCTTCAATTGCTTCTGTGTAATTCTTCTCGTTAAAATAGTCATTACCAATAAGCTTTAGATCCACCCACAACGGGTACTCATCTTCGTCTTCTTCATACAAATAATCATGCTGTAATATCTGATCCAAGGACGCTGGCGGAGGCGTGGGCGTTGTTTGCGTCAGGTCAAGTTCCAACCGACTTTTCTTCTCGTGAGCCTTTATCTCCTTCTCGTGCAGCTTGATCTCGGTATGATTTTCTACTTTGTTATTGTAATTGTCTGCTTGGTGATTGTGATTTTCTGCTTGGTGATTGTGATTTTTGTCGGTCTCTTTCTTCCCTACAGGTGAAAATGACAATAATTTGGTCACAAGTTCCCGAATTTGTTGTCGAATTTGTGTGTTGCACTCAATAATATCGGCCAATTTCTCAAAAGTAGCAATAGCGGTCTCATACTCCGTCCGTGTCATTTGACTTTGATGGGACACTTTGTTCCGGAACATAAGAGCTCTCTGTACAATAGCAAGGAGTTCTGGGTCCAAGCCGTAGTACCTTAAGTGACTGTACCAATGTTGCCGTAGGTACTTCAGCTGAAAAGACAAATCGTTTTGTTGCTCGGAGCTTAAGTTGCTGTCGTCTGGTGTGTCCTGTCTGAAGTAACGCGAAGAAGTGCGTTCCGACCTGGCGTCACTGCGGGCTACACGCGCTTTTTGGAACGACACAAACTTTACCAGCTCCGGATACACCATACTCATGACTGCCTGAAGACAGCCAGCTGCAATTGCACTACTCGCTAGTGTCTCAATGGACGGTGAGCCACCGCCTCTTGTCTCGGCCATGTCAGTCACTTTGTAAAGTGATGGCACTGAAGTGACAAATCCTTGCAGAGGTAATCATACAAAGTAACGTGATGAAGTAAGATGAAGGGTAGTGCCAAAACGATGCCGCAATTGGCGCTATGATATGAACAGTCTGTTTGGCGACAAATATATAAGGCCCGCTTGCAACAGGTCGGACAGAACGAATGGCTACATCGTAAAAGGAGATTACCATTTGTATTGATGATGGCGATAAACGAAGTCGTGACAGGCAAATTATAATGTCGCATCAGAGTCAATTCTTGTCGACTCTTGAGTTGGCACGAATGTGTTGCAGTCGATCAGCTGCCGTTGTTCATTGTGACTATATATTTCATCACATAGTTCTGTCAGTAGCATTACAACCTTCGAGCACTGACTGATATATCGCCTTTGCTACTTTTTGTTGATTCTTACGAGTAGCTGGTGACCCTGTATGCGTGTCACTACGAGGGCAAATGAGAGCGGTGGGTCCCGCTAACGGGTACATCGAAATTTTGGCAATACTGCTTAGGTGACCTACAAGGGGTATACATCACTGGCTAGCTCGTGAGTGTCTACTCAGTATATCATCAATGAGTTCGCTAGTATCCTAATGTGCTGCTTTCGTCTGCTACTGAAGCGTGCGTGAATCAGCTACCAGCTGCAAAGTGGGCAACAAAAACGTGCATGTCACTGGAACGACTTAACGGCGGTTATCTGAAACTAGCGTATGGATTACGTCCATCCTTCATGATGGACGTAATCCCCCCAGACATCAACTCCAGCATTTTTAGAGTCGATCTCGGGGCAAGCGACACTTAACAGATTAAATCGACTCGTCTGTCTGCCTCTCTCTCTCTCTCTCTCTCTATGTCTGTCTTGTGATTAGCAAACATTAGGGCTGTTGGTTGACCAATCGCATTGTCATATTTCATCTTTTTAGCCACTCAGAGCTTGCGTTAATCGCCTCCAGCTGTCATTTCCAACCGTTCCATTAAACCAATAGGTACGTCACCTCGTTTATAAGTACCATGCGATACGACCAGCATTTAGAGTCGAATCACGATCGTCCAAGACTTTTTCAACAACCACACGCAGTACCCAATATCTATCATCAATTGATGCATACGACAGTCAAATACGAACAAGGTGTGCCTTATTATTCTCCTCCCACGCCGCGCATGTCATCGTCCAACTACCGACCGACACTTACGAGTAATTGCAGCGATTCCAGTACTCCATCCAATGCCGTCAAACGGTCGAGAGAAGATTTGAATCAGAAGGAAAAGCAGCGTATGTTCAAGTTGAATGAACGTATCAGTCAGCTGAAAGCATTGCTGGATGATGCTGGTGTCCAGACAAAGAAGAACAAGCAGTCCGTTCTGGACAATACGTCACAATACATTGAAATGCTACGTGGAGATCTTGAAATTGCTCAGCAAAAGGCAGAACAAGCACAGAAAGAAACCAAAATGTTTCTTGCACAGGAAAATGGGGGCAAACAAACCGTGGGGAACAAGGTCATGAGTGGTGTGTTCCAGAAGACAACAACACCTCGAGTGGTGCTAGATATAGACATGAAGACGGTCGTGTTTAACACTGCGTTCGTCAAGCTTACAGGCCTGTCGGAACTTGTACTGAAGAAGAAAAAATCTTTGCAACCGTATTTGTGTGCGGACCAAACCAAGTTCCAGTGCATCATAAAGAAAGTTCGAGAGACGAAACAGTCGGTATGTGCAGTCGTGAAATCGTCCGTTGCGGACGTCAATTTGATAGCTTCCGCTGTAACAGACAGCGAGAACAACGTTACGAACGTCGAGCTTAGTCTTATTCCAATGGAAATGCAGCAGCAACAGCGACCATCGGCGACAAAGCGGCAGAAAATCAGAGCCGCTCACAACGGTACGATAGGTTCCGTCCCAAAGAGTGACACGGCTAATGATCTGAAAAGGTAATCAGCAAACGAGTTCGGGTCCCAGTAGTACGTAAAAGTCAAACACTTATCAGTTCAATGTAGTTGCACCTGCAGGTTTCTTTCGACGCAACGATTTTCATGTCAAAGGGCTATCAAAACTTACTATATGCATTTGATTATCACGAGCTGCTATATTCTTGTGTGCCTCTAGTTCGTTCCTAAGCACGTTCTTGGCCTGGTAAAACGCAATGTCGTGGTAGCATTTGTAACGATAGCTCAACTACTTCACTGTGCTGCCAAATGAAAAGTAGTATTAAGAGTTAAACTACTACTAAAGTAAATGTATAAACCCTTCATAAACTGATCACACAATCCAGATCATTCGAAGAACACTGTCCATGCAAGTTGTCCTTTTCACGACACACACATCACTGACGTAATTCGTGATCCTCTACACTCCCCTTCAACTTGCACTCTCGCGAATTCCAGTTTCATCGCGTAGTCGCATCAATTGTGGAGCACCAAGCGGCTTCGTCAGGTAATCAGCAAGTTGCATAGCTGACGGAACATGTTTGAGCTGGATATCACCTTGCTCAATGTGGTCTCGAACAAAATGCATCCTAAGGTCAATGTGCTTAGCTCTTGGAGTATATCCCTGATTCGTCGCAATACTTATAGTCGACTTGCTGTCCATGTGCACTGTAGTCGCAGTCTTACATGTGACACCCATCTCTTTCAGCAAATAACGAATCCACATAACTTCTTGCGTAGCTAGTGCCAGTGCCATATATTCCGCTTCAGCAGAGGATAAAGCCACCGAACTTTGGCGTTTGCTTTTGTATACGACAGCTGCACCTCCGAGTAAAATCAACACTCCAGACGTAGATCGACGAGTTTTCTTATCATTTCCCCAATTCGCGTCACAGTATGCCCAAAGCATCATCTTTTTGTCGTCCGATTTGTTATACTTAATTCCGTGCGATTTTGTTCCCATGAGATAGTGTAAAACACGTAAAGCCGCTCGCCAGTGCATCTGTCGTGGCTGGTCCAAGTACTGCGATAATACTGACATCGCGTAGCTTATGTCCGGTCGCGTTGCATTCGCAATATACAGCAGCGAGCCGACCAATTTGCGATACGAAGTAATGTCTTTAACCACTGGGTGTGATTCATCCGGAGTTAGGTCCTGTCCTGCGCAGATAGGGTTGCGAACTGCATAAGCTTCATTTTGCTTAAACTTCGAGACCACCTTCATAATAAATTGGGACTGTTTCAACACCAACTCCCCCTTTTCTTGTGAGTAGTTAACTTCCATGCCCAAAATAAACCGCGCAGCTCCAAGTGACTTGACAGTAAAATGTTCTGACATTTCCTTATAAATCGTGTCCGCCTCTGCATCTGACTTGCATCCAATAAGGAGGTCGTCCACATACAAGACTATGTATGTGGGTGACTTATTTTTTGCATTATTGCGTCGAACAAAAAGACATGTGTCTGCTCGACATTGTTCGAAGCCCATGGCCGAAAACACAGAGCATATTTTCTTGTGCCAAACCGCAGCCGCTTGTTTTAATCCATATAAGCTGCGTCGTAATTTGCACACCATTCCAGGTGCAATTTCAATTCCATATGGTGCCTCTATGTAAACGTCTTCTTCCAAATCACCATTCAAAAACGCCGTTTCCACGTCAAATTGTCGAATTACATATTGCATACTGCAACAAACAGACAAAAATACACGAATCGTGTTTGAGCATGCTACAGGTGAATATGTGTCGAAGTAATCAAAACCATGCGTTTGCAGATATCCGAGGGCAACCAAGCGTGCTTTGTAACGAACAATTTGACCGTTTTCATCGTACTTGTAACCAAATACCCACTTGTGACCAATGACCTTGACACCTGGAGGACGATTGACAGCATCCCATGTGTGGTTCTTAAGATGAGCATTAATTTCTGCTTGAATTGCTGCCTTCCATTTTTCTGCGTCCATCGACTGTAACGCCTCTCGTAAATTCATTGGTACATCAGTAGCAGAAAGCGATATTTCGTAATCGTCAACACATTGACGTTTAGGGTCCGGCTCATCATTTTCGCCATCGACAGGTGATCCATCCGTTAAAAGCGGTAGATCAATCCTCTCATCGTCAAAATCATCATTCGTGAGTAGACGAGATGACGTGAATGTACTATAAGGTCTTTTGTTCGACCCTAAGTATATCTCCATTCGATCATCTGGGGCACGGGAATTCTCACAAACTATAATAGCTCGCGACTGATCAGGTATTCCTGAGAGCAATTTACATCACTGTGGCAAATGGACTGATGTCCATTTGCCACAGTGATGTAAATTGGGGTACTTAAATCTTCGTATTCCACAAATTTACGCTTGTCATCAGTCATATGACGACTTGCCCCACTATCCAGCAACCAAGTTGAATTCGAAATTGGTTCTTCACTGAATGCCGAAAAAACGAATTCATCACCAGGTCTCGATGGTTTCACGTTACGACACTGCGATCTCTTGTGTCCATGCCGGCCACACGCAAAGCATTTGCCTTGAAAACTCGCATAAGCTTTTCCTTTCCTCGAAGTTTGGTAGCGATCTCGATTTTCTTCTTGACCACGGTGTCCTCGGTTACTTTGAAAGCGTCGAGGTTCATTACGTTGAGCGTGTGCCTTAAAAGCGGTTTCCTTCTTGTCTCGCTTCTGAAGAGTGTCATACTCCCGGCGGAGCATCTCTTTTGCGTCTAACAGCGTCACGTTGCTGTGTGCCTCAATGATGCGCACCATATCATCATATTCGGATAATAAACTTCTCAAAAGCAAAACTAGCTTTTCATCATCATTTATGCTGTCACCGGCAGCTCCGAGCTTGAGACACAGCTCATCAAATTTTAGTAGATGGTCCATAAGACTCGCACCAGTCTCCATCACAAATTCATGTAATTCTTTCCGAAGTTGCACTCGGTTGTGAAGATTTTTCTTCGCAAAGAACGTCTTCAGAACCTCCCAAGCTTCAAACGCAGACTCACATTCCCGAACCATGCACTGATAGGTTGGAGAGAGTAGTTTCACCAGTACAGCCAGAGCCTTCATATCGGCGACTTTCCATCCGGGATTCTCCCGCAGCACTGCCGGCTCTGGCTTAATCAAAACGTGATCCAAAAGATCCTTGCGCGCGAGTGTCATGCGTGCATTAAATTCCCACATGAAGTAATTGTCATCCGTGAGGATGTCATTAGGAGCCAACGTATTTGGGCTCATAACCTGTAACGATAGCTCAACTACTTCACTGTGCTGCCAAATGAAAAGTAGTATTAAGAGTTAAACTACTACTAAAGTGAATGTATAAACCCTTCATAAACTGATCACACAATCCAGATCATTCGAAGAACACTGTCCATGCAAGTTGTCCTTTTCACGACACACACATCACTGACGTAATTCGTGATCCTCTACAGCATTTGCCTCCCAACTACGTCCAGCCTCTGGCCAGTCATTCTGGAAGCGCTCGGCCAGGTCGGGGTTGAATGCACAGGCGGAACTTCGTGAGTTCCACCGGTCACGAATGTACTTGTTGTTGGACATGATGAATGCCGTCTTGGCGTCGGACACCGTAATAAGATGGCACCTTGACGAGTAGCCAAAGCCAAGGCCCTTTAAAATGGCGAGAGGTGTTCCCAGACCCCAAACGTAATAAGACGCTCCATCGTGTACTTGAACATCTCGTAGTTGTCTTCGCTACCCTCCAACGGAAACACCATTACAGTCAATACAGACACCGATACGATGAGCCGACACAGCTGTCCTGATAGTCTCCAAGAGTTCGAGCAGGAGACGTGCGCGGTTCTTAACATAGCTTTCCGTTCCATGTTGGTCAACCAACGGCAAGAAATTATCGGTGATTAGCCGTTCGCCGTTTCCCCATACCCGCAATCGATTCCGTCTCTAGTACATGCGGTATCTCGTAGTCCGACGTTTGGTGCTTTGTGTTTCGTATATGGGCCTGTTGCAACGCAACGCAGCGTCGACACAGACACGATTTTACCTTTATAGTGTTGATGGCTTTGGCGACCCATGCGTCACCCTCAATCACAAGCTTTCATCGTTTAACGTGCACAACAGTGTAGCAGTCAATACCATTGAACGACCCGTAGCGATTTTCGTAGATTGCAATGTCTTCCGAGATAATCCAACCCGCTTCTCGTAGGTTGTCTGAAACATGTCGCAGTCGCCGTTGGTACGCCACGACTGACGCGCATGAGCATGCTGCAATATTTGACGTCGCCGAGCTCGAATAACGTCAAAAGCTTAAACTTAAACCAAAAAACCGTGTAGCATTAGCTTCCGTTTGAACCGGTCTCACATTCTTCACGTTCTGTGAAAAGTAGTAGTGACGACGATCCTGACCACCCAGACGACTGCAACGTATGGTAAGCTTCATTACAAACGTTTGTTGTAAAGAAAAAGTCAATAGTGGATGGCAACACCATGTTGCTACATGGACACCGTGTTCGCATCAATTCCTCCAGCTACATTACGGAAAGCTGCATCTCGGGATAGCTCTCAAAGCACACACATGACCCTGGCCTACTCGGCTGTATTTGCTTAGGCCGCGCATCTTGGCAAGTATCACAATATTCGGGCATGTATCTTCGTTTAAAAATAGTCATGGCTCGTCAACTACCACGTGACGCAGTTCTGATACTAGCGAATGGAGAGACCTGAAAAAAACGGCATGCAAACGGCGAAAACGATACTTCATCTGGGTCTCTGCATACCTCTTCGAACACGGGTCATCATGTGCCTCACGGCAGATGTTCCACGGGTCACAACTGTCTGGCACCTGGCATTTGACTGTCCTGGGCGATTTTTCTGGCACTATCACGCCAACGAACCAATCCGTCTCAAATTCATTTCCAATCTTTCTCACTCGAGCTAACATCCATCCAGCAGCTCGTGTGCAATACAAGACTTTAACGAACAAGCAACTCCAACGATGTTCACCAGCAGCAAGTTCAGTGCCGTGTGCCTCGCCGTCGTGGCACTTTCAAACGGTGCATACGCTGAGATAGAGGCCGCCTAGACGTTCGGACTCCTTGGCATGGGTATGCAAGGTGGCGGTGCTGGCTACGGAGCTGGAGATGGAGCATACAGACGAGGTGGCGCTTATGGTGGCGCTTATGGCGGACATGGTGTCGGCGTCGGCTACGGTACTGGAGTGAGCGGTGGGGGGATCGGTAACGGGTACGGTGTCACTGGTATCGGTGGAACGGCTGGTCTTGGCGGAACTTCTGGTGTTGGTGGCAATTTCGGCGTCGGCGGCAATGTTGGTGTCGGTGGTATTGGTGTTGGTGGCATTCCTGGTGTCGGTGGCAATTTTGGTGCTGGTGTTGGTGCCGGGCGCGGTGTCGGGTGGTGGCAATAACGGTGGCGTTTCTGGTGTCGGTACAGGTGGCAATGTCGGTTTTGGTGTCGCCGGCCCGGCTGGAGCTACCTCAACGACGAATGGCAACACAATCACATCCAAGTCAGATAATGGCGGATTCAAAGCGAGTGTGAGCGGAACGAGCATGGGCACCACACCCGCTTTTGGTCCGGCTAGAGCTACCTCACCGACAAATGGCAACACAATCACATCCACGTCGCAGAATGGCGGAGCCAAAGCGAGTGTGAGCGGAACGAGCATGGGCACCGGACCCGCCCCTGGTCCGAGTGGAGCTACTAAGTCGACGGAAGGCAACACAGTCACATCCACGTCGCAGAATGGAGGAGTCAAAGCGAGCGTGAGCGGAACAAACACGTACACCACACCCGCTCTTGGTCCGGCTAGAGCTACCTCACCGACGAATGGCAACACAATCGCATCCAAGTCAGATTATGGCGGAGTCAAAGCGAGTGTGAGCGGAACGAGCATGGGCACCACACCCGCCCCTGGTCCGAGTGGAGCTACTAAATCGACGAATGGGAACACAATCACATCCACGTCGCAGAATGGAGGAGTCAAAGCGAGCGTGAGCAAAACGCCCATGGGGACGGTCACTGGAAATGCCGCCGGCAGAGTTGGAGCTAGCACTACAAAGAACGGCAACAATGTCACGCAGTATGGCGGAGCCAAAGCCGACGCATACGCAACGAGCCCGGAATACGGTACCGCAGGAACTGGCGCAGCAAGTCAGAACGTATACCGCATGCTTCGTTCGGAGTGAACAAAGTGATACGTTTATCACCTCTCTTTGATTGAGTTGTTTGCTCACTATTTCATATTGTTGTAAGAAATAAATGACATGCTTTCGTCTACCACTGGTTTGCACCTCGCTTCAAGAGTAGACTCTTACATCAAAAACAACGGTCGACAAGCTTGTATTTTACTACTCCTTCACTAGATTTCGATCTCATGCCCACGTCACTTTCAAAAAGACCGATTTCACTTGTCTTCGTAACCCTGGCGTCCACCAAAAGAACGTGTAGCATTAGCTTCCGTTTGAACCGGTCTCACATTCTTTACGTTCTGTGAAAAATAGTAGTGACGACGATCCTGACCACCCAGCCGACTGCAACGTATGGTAAGCTTCATTACAAACGTTTGTTGTAAAGAAAAAGTCAATAGTGGATGGCAACACCATGTTGCTACATGGACACCGTGTTCGCATCAATTCCTCCAGCTACATTACGGAAAGCTGCATCTCGGGATAGCTCTCAAAGCACACACATGACCCTGGCCTACTCGGCTGTATTTGCTTAGGCCGCGCATCTTGGCAAGTATCACAATATTCGGGCATGTATCTTCGTTTAAAAATAGTCATGGCTCGTCAACTACCACGTGACGCAGTTCTGATACTAGCGAATGGAGAGACCTGAAAAAAACGGCATGCAAACGGCGAAAACGATACTTCATCTGGGTCTCTGCATACCTCTTCGAACACGGGTCATCATGTGCCTTACGGCAGATATTCCACGGGTCACAAGTGTCTGGCACCTGGCATTTGACTGTCCTGGGCGATTTTTCTGGCACGATCACGCCAACGAACCAATCCGTCTCAAATTCATTTCCAATCTTTCTCACTCGAGCTAACATCCATCCAGCAGCTCGTGTGCAATACAAGACTTTAACGAACAAGCAACTCCAACGATGTTCACCAGCAGCAAGTTCAGTGCCGTGTGCCTCGCCGTCGTGGCACTTTCAAACGGTGCATACGCTGAGATAGAGGCCGCCTAGACGTTCGGACTCCTTGGCATGGGTATGCAAGGTGGCGGTGCTGGCTACGGAGCTGGAGATGGAGCATACAGACGAGGTGGCGCTTATGGTGGCGCTTATGGCGGACATGGTGTCGGCGTCGGCTACGGTACTGGAGTGAGCGGTGGGGGGATCGGTAACGGGTACGGTGTCACTGGTATCGGTGGAACGGCTGGTCTTGGCGGAACTTCTGGTGTTGGTGGCAATTTCGGCGTCGGCGGCAATGTTGGTGTCGGTGGTATTGGTGTTGGTGGCATTCCTGGTGTCGGTGGCAATTTTGGTGCTGGTGTTGGTGCCGGGCGCGGTGTCAATGGCAATGTCGGTGTCAATGGCAATGTCGGTGTTGGTGCCGGTCCCGGTGTCGGTGGCAATATCGGTGGCGTTTCTGGTGTCGGTACAGGTGGCAATGTCGGCTTTGGTGTCGCCGGCCCGGCTGGAGCTACCTCAACGACGAATGGCAACACAATCACATCCAAGTCAGATAATGGCGGATTCAAAGCGAGTGTGAGCGGAACGAGCATGGGCACCACACCCGCTCTTGGTCCGGCTAGAGCTACCTCACCGACAAATGGCAACACAATCACATCCACGTCGCAGAATGGCGGAGCCAAAGCGAGTGTGAGCGGAACGAACATGGGCACCGGACCCGCCCCTGGTCCGAGTGGAGCTACTAAATCGACGAATGGGAACACAATCACATCCACGTCGCAGAATGGAGGAGTCAAAGCGAGCGTGAGCAAAACGCCCATGGGGACGGTCACTGGAAATGCCGCCGGCAGAGTTGGAGCTAGCACTACAAAGAACGGCAACAATGTCACGCAGTATGGCGGAGCCAAAGCCGACGCATACGCAACGAGCCCGGAATACGGTACCGCAGGAACTGGCGCAGCAAGTCAGAACGTATACCGCATGCTTCGTTCGGAGTGAACAAAGTGATACGTTTATCACCTCTCTTTGATTGAGTTGTTTGCTCACTATTTCATATTGTTGTAAGAAATAAATGACATGCTTTCGTCTACCACTGGTT